GATTCGTGCCGGATCTGGAACAGAACTGCTGTGACCGATGAGTCGACAGTGTTAGATATCGATACAATCTACGATCTAAAATGTCATCGCTGTTTACCAGCTCTAGTTTCGTAATCTTTTCGTGATTCGAATTGAATTTTCTTTCATTCCTCCAAAAAAATTTGTGCTTCTGGCCAAGACGACGATGGCGGCTACGTTAGGAAGAATTTGTGGTTCCAAATTGCTTAAATCCGTACCTGCATTGAATCTGCAGCAGGTACCACCAAATATTTCTATAAATCAACAATCTTGTGTTAAATAATATCGACATCATTTGTCTTCGACAATATTCGTGTCGCGTTATGAAATGTGTTCGAGTGTCTGTCTCTATAAAGAATGACTTAAAATCTAAATAATTTAAAATAATACGTATAAGCACTACAGATTTGACCTAAACACTCCTATATCTAAATAGTGTTGACGCTGCAATGGCAGTATAATTTTTTTCTACGGGGTTTTTCTTACCAGTGACATTATGTAACCTGCCATTGAGGTTTTGTTTTTATTAGAGGTCCAACAAAACTACACGTTCGGATAGAAATATTATCGAAAAAATATTGTTTGGAATTTTTAATACATTTTTTTTAATTTTCAGGCTAATGGCTTGTCCACCGCAAAAACTTGGACTAATGGTCAGAAGAAGGTAAGTCGCATACAGAGATGTTTAGTGGAGAGACGGACGTCGACTCCGGTAATTATTTTGTATGTACATAACCTCAATAGTAATAATAAATGTTGGGAAGGGTAGAAATTTATAAAATTGACTGGTTTATAATTTGGATCTAATTTTCGAATTCATTTGCAGTTAGTGGCCACTATCGGAGCCTTGACCGGCGGTGTAGGTGCACTTATTTATGCTCTGGAGCAATCTGTTGAAGCTTTCCGGCACTGAAGTTCATCCACCTAAGATGCCATGGAAGCCACAGTGGTCTTATTTCAGCTTTGGACCCAGCAGGTGCGAATAAAAGAGCTAACGCTTGAGTCTTTTATATGAAAAAAGAAAGATATATTTTTATTTATTTACTTTCTCAATGGATTTAATTTATTATAGTGTACGCCGTGGCTACGAAGTGTACAAGCAAGTTTGTTCAGCCTGCCACTCGATGAAATACATTGCTTACCGCAATTTAGTTGGTGTAACACACACTGAAGCCGAAGCTAAGGCTGAAGCCGAAGGCATTATGGTAAGCTATGATAAAGCATTGTGAAGCAATTTTAATGTAAATTCAACTATAGGTACGTGATGGTCATGATGATGCTGGTAAATACTATGACCGCCCCTGGCAAGTTGTCTGATTACTTCCCATCACCTTACCCCAACGAAGAAGCTGCTCGTGCTGCCAACAATGGTGCTTATCCACCTGATTTAAGCTATATTGTTTCTGCCCGTCATGGCGGCGAAGATTACATTTTCTCGCTCCTTACTGGTATTTCGATGCCCAGCTGGTGTAGTATTACGTGAGGGTCAATATTTCAACCCTTATTCCCTGGAGGAGCCATTTCGATGGCCCAAGGTTTGTACAATGAGGTAAATCCAAAAAGTTTTATAACATAAATATGCCCTATGTGGTCGTCCAATCTCTAGGTCATTGAATACCAAGACGGTACTCCAGCCAACCCAAAGTCAGTTGGCTAAGGATGTGGCTACCTTCCTCAAATGGACTTCTGAGCCCGAACATGATGTACGCAAACAAATGATCATTAAGGTCGTTGGTATTATGACCTTCTTGGCTGCCATCACTTACTACATTAAGAGAATAAGTGGTCCGCTTTGAAATCACGAAAGATTTTCTTCGTCCCCAAGAAAGATTAAGCCATTTTAGTTAACGCCACATTTAATGTATCCAATTAGGCTACCATCAGCAACAACAACAATAGCCTTTGATAATAATGAAAGAACTACAAAGAAAAGAAATAATCTAAAAAACCGTTATTAGAAAATTAAAAACAATAAAAATAACTAAAACCAAAAATAAGCTAAATTACTAAACGAAGGTAATTTAAAAACAAATAAATTACTCAATATCACAATATGCGAAGTGTTTCATCAGCAATAAGTTTTGAAACTAGGTCTTTGTAATTTTCACTGAGTTCCACTTAAGCACCATTGTTGGTTCTTATTTTAACTGGTCACGTTGATTGGGTTTATTTAATTATTTCACTGTCAAGGTTTTACTATGAGTTTCTGTGCATTAATTCAAAACTTCCCCCCAAGTGAGATTTATAAATTGGCACGCTTATCTGGAGTCAGGAATAATAATTTCAATCAAAGCCCCAATAATGTAATCACAGTGCTGTAAAGAACCATGACTGGATTTCACAGAGGACAGAAAGTAAACGAATATAAAAATAACGTAGGGAAGGTAAACTTTAACCTAAAAACTATACGAAATCAATATCAATAATCAAAATTTTAAATAGCTAGACTTTTAATAAACCACATAAATATGTTAGTTCGGACAAAAACAAATGGAACTGATGACTCTTTCCGAAAGCATGTTACGTATCGTCTGCCCTACGCCTTGGTAAAAAATTACAGCTTTCCCCCAGAAATAGTAGAGAATAAAATCAATATTGAGTTGGTTACAATTTGTTACATTGGAATTGCAATTAAAATGCTACGAATTACAGAAGGAATTATCGAGTTACAACTGCAATGTAACGAATTACAAATGAATCATCGAATTAAAATCAGATGTTTCAATTTACATCAGTAGTAGGGTTTCTCTTATTAGTTTACTACAGAGATAGCGCAATTATCCATAACAACAATTTTTTCAATGCTTATAATTTCAGCACTTAACGAAATTTATCGTTAAGCTAGCGACGAAAATGTTACTGATTTTTAAATCAAGTTTAAATGCATTTTTCCATCCAAAGTTGTAGCTTTTCCAGGAAACGGCAAAAAGGGTTAGAGACCCCACCACATAATTAAATTTCATATTCAGTGAATAGAAATTATTGACAAGAGCAGAAGAGAATGCATCCATCACACTTGGTTCCAAACCGAGTCCGTAAAAATGTATTGGCGTTAGATCGTTTGCAAAGCCGATTGATATGGGATCTATGTTACCCGAAAATCTTTATACCACGCTTGACTCCTCTGTTAGAATTATTTAGGATTTGCTAGCATTTTCAAAAATTTGTCATCTTATCAGAAGACATTTAATTTTGCTTGAAAGTGTTATAAACGTAAATTATTTGTTAATTTAATTAAAATATCGTTTACAGTTTTCATTGTTTTTCTTGTGGTAATTTGTTTTTGTATTGCTGATTCATTTAATTATTCAGAGTCCATTGTTATTTTTGCTCATCTTTTTTTTAATTTATTTTAATGTTTAATTACGATATTTAAGATTAACATTTTATAACTAATTTTAGAATAGTCATATAAAGAAATTTTAGGAATTGTCCATGGGCTAGCTAACTGTTTATATTGAAAATATATAAAAATGAAATCCCATTATAAAACCATACAATTATAGTGTAAAACCGTCGTTGCAGGTATCGCCTAGTTTGTAATTTAAACACATATAAAAGCAACTAAGTTCAGCCGTTCGGAAGCTGTAAGGCCCTCCAACATATGGAAGTAACTTGTAAAATGTTAAGGAGTCCGTTGAAATATGAAATTTAAAAAATTCCGAATATCGGTTGTTACAACTATAAGGATCTATAAAAAAATGTGGACATCTCTAGCTCTAGAGTTATAGGTCAGCGAGAAGGTTGCCTATTACGAACTCTTGTAATAGGCAACCTGAGTTCTGTTGAAAAATGTAGCTAAAATATAAGGAGGTACAGTTAGATGAGAGCTACACGAAGACGTGGATAGGCGCAGGTAATTTTCTGTCACAGGAATTGGTACCCATTGCGAACTCCAAATTTAAAATAATCCCAATGAAAAGTATAGCAAAAATCAGGAAATACGAAATATAGGGAGGTACGTTTAAATGAGCGCATCGATACAATTTCGGTGAAAAGTGTGACGCAGTCAAAATATCAAATATCAGAGGTTTATATTATATGGGGACTATATATAAACTTGGATCTATAAAAAAATAAACTGCCAATTTATAGTAACTTCTATCCAAAATATAACTAAACCTTTAATCTGGTGGTGCAGTTACATGGGGGATATATTAAAATGTTGACATATTTGACCCATTGTCACTACAAAAATGTACTCAACAAAATTTTAGCGACCTTCTTCATTTTGTTCCGAAGCTAGTAATTTCCTCGAAACATATATACTATGTTTGGTCTTAAATGCTTATTTCGAAGAATTGCAAGTGGAACGACAAACTTAAAATCCCCTCATACTATGTGTGGTCAAGTGTATTAAAGTTCATAAAACGAAAAAATATATTTATATAATCATTAAACTGTCAAACAGTCTGCTTTTAGAAGATGTTTAAATAAAATAATGCAATGCTAAAAGTTTTAATATTAAATTTTACTATTGGCAATATTAATTAAATACTGTTTGCATAAAGTAAATGAAGTTTCAATCACAAATAATTAATGGTTATTCATCAGTTTGCCCATACATAATCCATCTATAAAGTAAGTAACCTTAATGATCCAATGCAGAATTGTTAAATTACACCTTTTGACAGTCTCATTTTTATAAACTGAATATGGATGTCCAAACAAAATATACCATACACGGATTTTTTAAATTAACTTTATTCAATATTACAATTACATACGTTTTTTAATACCATTCACTTATCTCTTTTGAGGGTGTCCCCACTAGTAATGCAATCGTCTGTCTGGTATGTGAATATCAATTTTTATATTTACGCAAGTTCCGCTGTTATGTGTAGAGATTCTTCTTAAAATTATAATCCATACGATACTCTCAAAGTAAACGAACTGTTTGGAAAACTTTTAATTTGGGGAAAATGGTTGCTTGAAAAAAAGTGTTTAGCGTAAAAGCTATAAATGGACAATAAAACGATGTATTAGAAATAGTTTAAAGTATTTTATTAGACAATAAAAAAAATAAACCAAGGTGACTTTAAGCAACGATAAACCTTTACTTGACTGGTGTTTGACCAAGAATAACTCTTCTACCAGCTTTCTTTTATTCTTCGAATAAGTTTCACTTTAAACTCACATAAACGGCAGAATGGGAGCGGTGTATAGCAGTTTTCGACGAGATTACAGAAGAAAATTAGATTTAAATCATATTAATAGCATCAGTGATATACATACGAGGTTCGTAATATTCTTTATGTTTTCAAGTATTATAGAAATAAATAATTAAGCAGCAGATCTGTTATCCCAGCCACATTATTTCATAGTTTAAAGCAATAAATAGTATTTTTATTGGAAACAACTTGGATCGACAACAACAGAGAGAAGCTTTTCTATTACTGGTACTAAACCATGCTTCATATTTTTGTGGGGTAGTCTTCTGCCATATTTTGTAATATATATAGCTGGCAAATATAGTGTTTTAGCTGTTAGCTTCTTAATGTTTGTTGTTTATTGACGTCATAGTTGTTGTAAATGCTGCTACAGTTTTTGTAACTAAAAACAGCTGCCTTCTGGTGGTTGCGCCAGTTTCAGGTTTTCTTTGCAAGTCATAATTCTGCGTATCTCTTGCAATAACGATTTGATAGTGTATTCACGATTCCATCGTGAAAGCATGGGCACTAATCTCGGATCAACCTATAAAAAATTAGAAATTGAAAAAAATTAGAAATTTAATTTAAGCTTTTAAAAGTACACTTTAACTCACCACTCCATTCTGAGTAATGCAGTTTATATTGATTTTAGTTAGAAATTTTATCGTGGGAGGCTCATCAGGATAACGTTCGCCACAATCAATTTTTAGAGAGTACATTCGATTCTCATACGGTGTCTGAAAAAATGAACCAATTAACACAAAATGACGCCATGAAACAGTTTTTTGCAATTTAAAAACTAGCAAATAAGAATATTAAACTTACACGAGGAGGACCAATAATCATGCCAATCCAATATGTAAGAGTCATATCATCATCATTTTCAAGACCCCAAGAAATAGTGCCATCGCCCACACCTTTTTGGCCTTGGTCCAATTCCTCAAGTAGACGGAAGTTTCTTGGAACCACTGAAAATGTAAATTTTTTAAAGACATGCTCAGATATTTTTTATATGGTTAGTGTTTTCAAAATGACCTTACATGATTACTTTATAAAATATAAAAAAAAAAAACTAATAGTGACCGTAAAATTCCAACTCCTCATGCCCAAATGACATGTTAATATCATTAATATAGCGGCATGACATTTCAATCGATACAAAGAACGTAACAATAGAACGTAATCAATGCAACATCAACAATAATTGGCAAAAATAACACAACACGAGATTTGTGCAGTTAAATTTGTTCTATCTCCAGTTTTCAGACATTGTATGAATATTACGTTCCACTATTGAGTCATCACAATGTGTATTGCATAAACACAGAGGCCACATATGATTAAAGCAAATATTGATTGCATTTCATAAATAGTGAATTCCAACATAAAGTACCAAAGCTTTATTGGAAATTATTGTTGTTTCCACAAATATGCATCACTACATCTTTCAGAGGCCTAATCTAATCTAATTAACGCTACATGTTCCAACATTAACGCATTCAATTGTGGGGTTACTTTAAAATGAATTAAATATCTTCTAAACAAATTCATTTGAGTAGCTATTATAATTTAGTCTAAAAAATCGTCAATAAATCCATACTTGGACAGATTCATTTATTCTTCGCAAGGCACAGGCGCACATCTAACTCATATATGGACTGTTGGTGGGAGGGGTACTAGCTGCATATTTTCCAATATTTTTTCTAGACTTCAATAATTCTTCATTATGTCTCAAGCCATAGAGGAATGTTTAGATCCTTTGCAAACAGACATTTTTATGAAAACATATTCGAAGATTAATTTTGTTTCACGCCACACTCCACTGAAAATAATACATTTTCACGCCTAACATCGGCAAAAGAATTTGCAAACACAAGGAGACATACCTAATGTCAAAAATAACCCAAGTAGCTTCACTATACACTGGCACACTACATGCTAGCAATGTTTTAAAATATGAAGCACATTTTTGCAATTATTGTTCCAATAGTGAACATATTAGGAATAAATAAAAATTTCTTACCTACACCGGATTGATTCGCCATTTTCACTCTTCTTTTTCGATCTACATTCACACACACACCAAAAAAACTTAAACTTTGAGTCCCTGTGTTTGTCAAATTTCTTGAAGCCGTTGAATCACCTCTTAAATTATTGCACTAAAAGTTCGAAGGCGATTCAAGTGGTTAACGGCGATGTACCAGCTCATATAAATGTCATTGTCGTAGTCACTGAGATTTCTACGATGTAAAGTATTCATTTAGGAAGATGGAATATTTGATCCACGTTTTTTTGATTTTGTCTATTTAAGTAAAGTAACTTTAGTTTAACACAATAGTTTCAAGCATGGTATAATAAAGAAGGTAAAGTCATGCAATCATATGTTTACATTTTTTAAAAATTATTTAATTGACAACATCTCATTGTCAAAATTTATATTTATAAATCCATTGTACATACAAAAACCCGAGGTTGGAACCTGCTTACCATGCAGTGAAATTTAACAAGCTAAATTGCCGAAAATGCAAAGGGAATGCTTATTTGAAACGACCACATGGAGACTTTCAATGTCAATCAGACGATAAGGGTTTTAAATATCATTAACCATGTATTTCCGTGAATATATCAAAATAATTTTAAATAAGACTCATAATTCTTGCTATCACACTCTTTCAATGTTCTTATTTCCTTTCGTTAGATTGTGATTATATAGTATTTTCTGTATAAAATATAGTACTTTTTGGATTAATTTTTACAGCAAATTTATTTTTATATATTTTTACACAACAAACAAATAACAATTTTTATTAAATTTTATTTTTCCGATAAAAACAGTGCTCGTTGCGATCGATTGACTTTCTACATATGGAAAATTGTACACTATATATGTAAAAAAATATTTGGTATTTCCGGAGCGGCAAAAATGTAAAAGTTTTTACTACGACAACCGATTTTCTGACAGAGTCTTTAAGGTTAGAATACATAAAACGATTTTTTGACTGGTTGAAGTCATCGGCTGGATTCTTCGTGAGGCCATATCAGGTGGACTGTTTCAGAACTGAAAGAGTGTAGAAATGTTACGATAACCGATTTTCCGTTTATGAGATCGAAGAAAAAGCAAAAGCAAAACTAGTAGATTATTCCAGGTTCTGGAACAGAGCAAGAATGCACGTGATACGCGATAAAGGACCTGGTAGAATAAAAGCGTCTTCCGTTATATCATGTTACTGACCACAACCATAAAGAGATGTTCAGTGTCGATAAGGCTATGTCTTTGTTGTTGTGTTAGTTTTGAACTTTTATTTGATATTTTCCTCAATTTTTAAAAGAAACAATTAATCGCGAAAGAATAATTAAATACAAAGAACTTCTTTCTGAAATATCTTCCAAATTTTCACATTAAGGTGGAGTACATAAAACTACATTGACAGGCTTAATGATTGGAAGAAACGTAAATTGCGGGGCGCACGGAGCGCTTTAATGATATTAACCAGATTTGCCACAGAATTGAAAGATAGAACTGCTTAGATCATATTTTTGAGATAACATCCAGGCATTTCATTCATCTTTCGCGCTATTTGACTCATTTTAAAAATGAACAAAAAATATCAAATAAATGAAAACAACTTGTTGGATATAATTTTGAATAATTCTGACAGAAAGCGGGCATAGCCACAGGGCTGTATTTCTATAGTTTTACGAAGCTGTTCTACCTCCTTATTGTACCATGGGCTTAACTAGTTAAATTCTTCTATAAGGGCTCTGCAATGATTGTTTCTTATATTTATAGGTCCGTTCTTATATCTTTTTCTTTTATAGTCCACTTTTGTTATACCTTAATTTAGGAAAAGTGAAGGAAGTGAAGTTCACATTATCGGGCATTAATTTTACATCATTACTTTAAAATATCTGCATATTTTTCAGAGGTATGACCAAGGATTTTTAACTTAAAGTTTGGAACAAATGCTGAACATTTAACAACACCCATGACTTCAAATGTATTAATTTGAAATTCCTACATATCTGGACCCATTGCAATTGCAGAGGTGATTAAACGATAAAAAACTCTGGAAGGAAATATCTGATTTGGGAAGTCATTGTCCCAGCAGCTGTGTTGATGCGACTACCTGTATTCTTCTACCATGTGACAAAGTGTTTGTTTACGTTTAATTCACAATTGGCATTCATTTTGACAATGCGGCTGAAATCAGCTTGTCTAATTGGATGGTCTGTGTGGCTTCTGCATTTGTTGTGACTGTGCCCCACTTCTGACAACAAACATTTCGGCAATGTATGTTTTTATTTTTTAATCTCAATGGTAGGTTTTCATTGTGACTTACACGTCCTGTTTAATAGGCCTTGAATTGTACTGCATCGTTGAAGGCGTACGTCAAGTGTTATTTGGGCCTCCTGTGTGACCTGTTTATAGACCTTGGTTGATTTTAAAAAGGTTCTTAATAACAATAACAAATGTAATGAAATGATGTGAATAGTGCATATAATAATAATAATAATAGTGCAAAATTGTAATGCTCAATATTTGTTAAAATATTTCACGCACGACTGACGACAGAAAAACATACATAATATACATTTCAATAAACTTCGTGGAGATCCAATGTATTTTCACCTAATGGTATACATGCGTATTATTATTACCACCGTGGTAATTATAACATGCCTATTGGGTGATAATTTTGTTGAACTGACACAGCATCCGCTGCTTAAAGCCTTGGCGGACAATGCTACCCATGCCGCAATTGGTGCATTGTCCGGCATTGCTTTTGCTGTACAATTTTATGAAAGAACTACACATTTCTTTGGATGGTTCCTGATTTTTACTTGTTTTGCCTGTTCTTCACTTATTGACATCGACCACTTCATTGCAGCTAGAAGCTGGAGTTTGGAGGTAAGCTGCCAATCAAAATCAAATTAAATCAAATTAAAACGTTTTATTTCCTTCTAGGATGCTACAAATCTTTCACGGCGTCCTTTTCTACATTGCTCATCGCTTATTGTTCTGCTTCTGTTGGCTTATCTTTGCACTTCTTGTCTCAACTATTTTAAGTGGAGCCTTGTATTGGGTGTTTTGCTATGTGCCTTTATAACACACCATACACGTGATGCCATACGTCGTGGATATTGGTTTTATCCCTGGGGACATACTAATAAATTACCAAATCTGGCTTACATCCTCATAACGGTATTAACGCCTTATGTCGTAAGCAATTTGTATGACATATGCCGCAGTTCCATTGTGCAACAATTCCTTGGTCAATATATTAAACTAAATGAAGGACATCATTACAAAGACGCCAGAGGCTACCGTTACATGCAGGTGTAATTCGATGAGAACCTTCAGTGGTTATAAATATAACAACGGAAACATGTGATTTGAAACGTAGTATAAAAATATTTTTTATCAATTAAATACACCTTTAAAAGGTTTTATTAGCTTTAATATACATTAGAATTATGTAGAATCACACAGCAAAGCATATTTTGCATTCGATAGAGTGGATATTTTAGCTCAAAGCAAAGCCAAAAAAAAAAAAAAATTATCCACATGATACACCCGCTAAAGAAAAATGTACTAACTTGAACTCCGCAGCGCCTGTTCCTCAAAATTTTCCTAATATGGTTAGTCCTCTTTAGATATTGTGATATAAGTACTAGAAATAGAAAATAGTATTTACTTTTTCGCTATCAGATCTTGGGAAAGTAAAAAAAAAAACAATTATTGCCGTTTTTTAGTTAAAATTTTTATTAATAAATCTTCTTAAACTTTAATTATTTGCACTTGAATTTTTTACCGACAACACCGAAAATTTTACAATGTTAAATCAAACTAATGTAGTAAATATTTAGATCGATGAGCTAAAAAATCATGTAGTTTGTGATAACTTGTAATTAAATACGTTAACTAAAATTAATTATACATAATGCATAGCTTATAGAGGAAAGTATTTGTACCAGTTGATCATGGACTATATAAAAGAAACATTTTTAAATGTTTTAGTTGAACAGATTATGTTCCGTTTCCACTTCATCATATACACCATCGATGTTCTTAAATTCTGCTAAATCTGGATATTTTACCACCAATTCGTCCTCACTTCTGAATTCATTTCGATTAAACTTATTTTCTTCGCCATCACGTAAACGTTGATAAATAAGAATGTTCCTTCCAGTCCTTGAATTAATGTACTGTAAAAGAGAATCAGCATTAAACTGATTTTCCTTTACAAGGACGGACCACTTTTTCAGGAGGATTTGGGGATCAACATTTTTTACCTCCGCATTCGCAACCTTTTCCAATAGCTTGTAGTCAACAAGGAATTCGTTTATTGTGTCTGCTAGCGGTTCGTACAGTACCACGTGAGAAGGCTTTGCCGAGCGTGGGTACGAAGGAATATGAGAACGTAACCAATGTACTGGTGACTCGAAAAAGAGTTCCGCCTCATCTTTGTAATTGGGTGTATCTTTCAAATTTGGTTCACACGTTAAAAACCTCATAGTGACGTTTTGATGGATGTGGCTAAAATGGTGTTGAAGAAAAATTTTTATTAAACAACTCAATAAACCATACGTATTCGCTATTGTCTCGTCTAGGAAGATTACAAGCAAATATAAAATAAATCATACCTATAATACGGAGTGGAGTGGCATGGCATTAGGAAGAGTATGTTTGCAGGGCGGTTCTGTTCGGATTTGTATTCTGATGCTATATGATTCAGTTTTGTCATAACATCAATTGGTCCCCTTTGATGAATCGTGCTTAAGTACCAGGCTGGTATAGCATTGCCAACAATTATTAGAATGGCAACAAACCACAACGAAATCCTTTAAAATATTAATTCATGAAATCAATATGCAGGCTATATTATTTTGTAAAATTTACCTTGACGCTTTGTAACTCCATCTGGTTAAGGTATCTGAGGCAATATATAAACATAATGGCAGTAGAACACATACAAATCGGAATTCTTTATGCTCTACAGTACTTAATATAATCAGAGATAGAAAAACGGTCAACAACAGGTATTTGCGTGTTGGATATGCACGGCTATGACGAATAGTTTCGATGGTACCAAATAGAAAAGGCAGAAAATTAATGCCCAAAACTGTAGGCAAACCAACTGTAAAATACCAATACCTAAAATAAAGAAAAGTGAATTAACAATCATTAAAACTGAATTCCTAATGCGTAAACTTTCTACACATTCTTGCATTGAGATCCCCTTTGTGGATCAAGTTTCCGGATGGTGGATACTTGACGGTAGATTCTCGCTTCTATTTACTCAAAAAAAAAATAATAATAATAATAATAAAGCGTGACAATTTCCTTCGACATTTCGCATTCCTACTTGGAGACTATTTTGTAACGAAACCTCGTGGTTTTATGAAATTTCCCCGGACGCATTGCCAAACAAATTAGTTGCATGTCAATTAGGTCCTTCTGATATTCGACAGTTTAAACCGAAATGATTCTTTTACGTTTTAACAAAATTTATGTGATAGACCCACGCCATATTTTGTAATTTTGAAATTTTGTGGAAGAGGGTTTAATACAAATATGTGTACCGTTTTTGTAATATGTAGTATTCTGAGCGTTTATGCTTCATCTATCTTATCGAAACTAGCATCTTACCATGGATGGGAGCCATAGAAGCTGCCAATATTTTGAATAACATTGTACTTGAGAAACTCATATGGAGTAATGAGAAAGCGGCCATGCATGTAGGAGTCGATACCCACGGAGATTGCCGCAACAAGTAATCTGAAAATATCGGTTGTATTGTCTTATTCAAAACAAAATCACAAGGAAAATATATGTGGATTACTTACCCAACAACAATGAATCGCTTAAATACTAATTCCGTCCATCTTAATTTGGATTTGTGAAGGTGATAGAAAACCAATGGCAGCCATATAATCATGGCGGTCGGTCGCAGGAAAACACACAAAGCAGCTGGCCACAAATATGCTACACCTTCACCGTTCCATGGAAAGTAACTCAAAGCAATAGTTGTCAATGACGTCTCCAACGTATTGCTTAGTGTTCTCGAGCCGGTATAAAACCAGAACCAAGACACTGCCATGAGAAACAGTCCCCATTTCTTTTTACCTGTCCAAATGAAAAATCGATAATCGGAATATGCCGACAAAGTAGCCTGTAGTAAACGAGGAAGGATAATCAGCCATTTCACAGTATCCAGACTCAGCAACGCCAAAATTTTATAAATTCCAGCTATGATAACGGGATATATGTAGCTACGTATTCCCTCCACCCACTCCCATGTTAAGTAGCCGTATCTAAAATTATACAAGAAGATATATATATTCGTAACTGCGTGGACGCTAAGAACGTATTGTATTTACCCAAATGTAATTTTGTGTGCTACCTCCAAACTTTGCCAATATTCATCAGGAACATAAAACGTTTTTACTACGAAAACTGAGGCAGTGCGTACAGCTAAGCAGAATAAAAACACGAGTATCAAATTCATCTCAATTCAGAAACAAAACATAAGATTGAAGTGGGAACCGCAGGCTTTTTAAATTCTCAAACCAGCTCAAGATATTCTTTCGATAAAAAATATTCAATGAAAGACACGTAAAAACGATTCTAAAAAATCAAAAAAAATTCTACACGCACTATATTTAAAATATAAAGGCTAAATCTAAAAATAAAATATAAATAGTCTCAGTTGCCGTTCTGTTGTTGTTGTATATGACGTCACCATACGACGCGGTCGCGGCTAATAAAAAATATGTGGCAAGCCTTTATATAAAATTTGACGTTTCTATAAAAATAGAGGTGGCAAGCCTTTGTATATTATGACGTTTGTCTTAAATAGGCGTCGGTTTATTAAATTGTTAATGCATTAATTAATTATTTTTCGCATTTCGTATAAATAAATATATATAAATATCTAGGAACAAATGGAACAAGTGTGTATATGTGTGATTTGAGATTCTGCGTGAAACAATAATAAACAAAAAACTTAAAAAAAAACAAAATAAATCCGACCGCCAACATTGTTAAATTAACTAATAATATTAATAACTGAAATAATAATATAAATAATTCCATTTTAGAATTGGATAATTGAATAAAAAACATAACATGGACGAATCATATATAATAGAACAAGCGAAAAAGTTTAAAGCGATCGATATCGCATCGGCAAAAGCATGGATTATTACGGCGAAAACACTGTATCCCAATAACTTCAACGTGCAGGTTGGTTGGAACAATTCTAGTAAAAACTCTGGTAACTTTTTTGAATCCCGGGAAAGTATTTTTTCTTGGTGGAAGGACCCGGATATTTGACCCAAAAGTCCGGGTCCAAGACTCGGGTTAGATCTATTGAACCGATATGAAAAACATAGATTTCATCTGAAATTTCGGGAGTTGTATGAAAGTGTTTGTATTTTGGAACCGGGCTTTTTTTTAATATGTAGTTATAGTTGATACTATAACCAAAATGCTATAATTTGCTACTATCAGGGTGCAAATACCTGTCTCTGGAAGAAAGAAATCTGAGAGTTGTTACTACACTAGAGTTATTATTACATATCTTTAATATGTTTTAATTACATTTATATTCTACATTCCAGTACCAGGCATATCAGATAGAAAAAGAGGGAAACAATTTTGAAGAAGCAGCGAAATGTTTTAGTTATATGTAAGCAATGGAATTTAAAAGAATATAACAACACTATAACGTATAAATGTTCCATTTACAGAATTCTGAATGTACAGCATCCAAATGTTCAAATACTCGAGGAAGAAATTAGCGAATTAACAAATGCGCTTAAGAATGAAAATGAGATAACGTCGCAGCAGGAATTCTACGTGAAAATGTTTCAGCATGTTTCCTACGAAGTACAACACAAAATCCTCATGATGACGGTCAATAACACTGAAAATAGTTTGAATCAATGTAAGCTGTTATTGCTGGTTTTTAAGCGTTTCCCACAGGCGGCTGTAACCCATTCGGTAAGATAACATTTTATGTGCACATATTATTTATATATCTTCTTATTGTCAGCCCCGGCTTTTGGAAATGATTGCCGATGGGATGAAGCAAAATCCACAAAAATATCAGGAAATGTTGGTTGAGGAAGCATTACCATTAATATACCACAAGACACCAGATCTAGCAACCAATCCAAATTTAGTATGCCGACTTTTTACCATATCCCTAGAATACTACATTCGACAAATTTTGGACGAAGTTAAATGTGATACTAACGATATATGGAAAAAAATATTTCAAGTATTGATGCTATGCGGTAAAATACAGCGATGGGAAGCATTTTTGCCTTTTAACAAATCTTGGTATATTGCAAAATGGAAAGTTATTTTATAAAATATCACAATAATTTTTTTCACTTTAAACTTTAGGGGACAGAATGTTTACTGGGATAAACTTATTGAAATTGTTTCGACAAGTCCAGCAGGAAGTAATCAAGTGCTTTTTTATGCCACAACACTGTTCATTTATTCGTTGCATTGCTACATTAAAAATTGTAATACGCGCCCTGAAGAAGTGGAAATTAATCACGTTTTAGTTGAGGGATTTAGCGATTGGAAAGTTGAGCGTTTAGACCCACAAATGGAGCCGCCACAGATATCTCTCACGACACCAACAAGTAAAGAAATCTCCAAAGCTTTTGTCCATGCTGCGCAATGTTGGCAATTGCTCAATACAGAACAATTTCAGAGAGAATTCAGTAAACTGCTTTTAACTCTGCCTCTATCACCATGGATTTCCAGATTCCTCTTCGATTTAGCAATCTATTTTGGTCATCAAGAAGAAGCCAAGAAGCTAATGCTTGAGATGACTATAAAAAGTAGTTTGGTACACCATATTTTGAAGTTGGGGCTAAACTTGCTTCAAGGGAAACTTTCGGTACGTTGAAAGCATACGACTTTGTTATTATTGTTATTATAGCCTATTATTTTTTCTCTATAGTTTGAAGGTTTTGAATGTATACTGAAAATATTAGCTGAGCTTCCCTCAACTTCGGGGCAGTTTTTGGAACATTTGACATTGAAAGTGCCCCGACACATGATTTTTATACCCCTGACACAGAAAGCATTATTGCAGTACTGTTGTAAAGCGATAGTTTCCAACTTATGTGTAGGTATATAGAAGCTTTGATGATGAAAATATTTTTATGTCTGTGCTTCTGTCTATTTTTCAATGCGGATAGCGTCGTATTTATGAACCGAACTGTCCTGACGAGATTTTGGGTGATTTGCTAATTTTAGTACAACTTGAGTACCCGAGGGAAAAAGAACTGGCAGAACAAATATTCTCCATTATAGCGACCAGAAGAAATTTTACGTTCCATAATTTCTCAAGTTTCATTGTAACTGTTGACTTTATTGAGGAATTTATGGCAATATGGAATTCACATAATGAAGATTTCAACTTGGATCTTACGCCGTCCGATGTAAACGCTGCAACAACAACCCGACGGACCCGATGTACCGACAAGGGGGCACGAGATGATACTCGAATTATTCTAAAACAACAGCTTTCACGTTGCAATGAAAATATAGTCTTACTTTTAGCAAATTTTATAAGTCAAGAGCAAATGCGTTTGATGCATTCTTTATTTGATGTTGAAATGAACCAGTTTTAATTTTTCTAAATTATTAACTATATTTGTCAATATAAATAATAACTAAATTATCTAAACAATAATAAAAACAGATGTGTGCCTCAATTTGCAAATTGTCTTAAAGTAAAGCTAATTAGGTACTTGATTCGATAACATTTGAACTTTAATCCACACTCAATGTGGCAGTAGTTGTTAAACAATTAAAGATAGCTTCTCAATGTAAATAAATACATACATACAGTTTTCCGAGCCATCATACATAACATACTTTAATAATCGTGCTTAACATATGACATAAAAATATTATATAATGCTGTACAAACATTAACAAACGTTACACGATATTTGGTATCTAAGTAACGGAAATTAACATATTGTGCGCCTGGCCACAACAGCCAGTCCATGCAGTAGATGAATGCGAATTTGTCTCGCAACTCGTCGTTGGTCTCTGCCAAAGTTTTCCTCTCCAAGTAGCATGCCGAGTAGAAAAATATGAAAATACATATTGGCGACATGAATAATTGGTCTATAAGAATTTTTTTACCACATTCCGTAAATTCGCTACTGGCATTACTTTATCCATCCAATTGTAGACGTAATGGTGCAGGGGGCCCTGCAGAGCTCCAACAATGAACATTCGACCTATCCGTTGCAAATCAAATCGATGGACACTGTTGTCTTTTTTACGACGATACTCGATTTGTTGCGCCGCAACATCCCCAACGACCATTAGAATACCTGATCCCACAATGTTTGTAAGCAACAAATATTTTCCAAAGATAGTATTCCACAGTTTTCGTATTTTACCATGGCCATCTCTTCCCCCGCCACTGTTGCTTACTTTTAACCTGAGTGGTTGGACCAATAAATTACCGTTATTTATATTATTTAGTATTAAAGGCCACTTCGTACACGTTGAATTAGAACCTGGCAAAGTGTTAGTAAAGTGATAATACGAACGGGTCTGTATTCTACATATGGAAACGCGAGTGAACATGTTTCTTTGCTCCTTCAACAACTTAACCAGCCTTAGTGAACAATAGAAACAATATGGAATAGGGGATTGAACTCATAATATTAAGTAAAGTTAGTGGAGCAAGGGACTAGTTCATGGCCCAAGTTTAAGGTTCTCTGCCAAGCCAGCTGACTACTAAATGTTATGCTAAAATAGATTATTGTAATTGAAATTACAGAACAATAGATACACAAAAAAAATTATTTTGACATTAAATGTGGATTTTAAAATTTGCATGTGGATTTTATTGCGCCGAGATCCAACGCAATTTGAATTCACACATTTATTTTGAATACAGCTTTTGAGCAGAAAAAATGTTGCGTTTTGGAGTGAGTTATTTCACTGGGAAAAGTTCTCCAAATTATATCAATATCAACTTTTCATTCAGAATTTTGCGTTTTTCAATTCTACCGATTTTTGTCGGTAACTGAAAAAAATCCACAACCGATAATTGTAAGCATATTTTACCGATTTTTTCCTTGAAAATAATATTTTTGACACAATTTTTCATTCATTTTATGTCGAGGTTATCATCAGCCAATTAGAAGACAAAGCAGGGAACTTTAACCAGTAAAAGTGAATGCATTTCTTTTTTAGGCATATCAATGCTCACAAGTGATGATACATGTACTTGTCATCTACCACGGATAATGTATATTCTCTCATTAAACGCACATGGGTAAACTTAATTGTACTTCATGAACTAAAGGAACTAGATGCACGAAGGAGATAAAAGTTCCGTTTATTTTAGTGAACAGCTATTTTGAACTAGTTCGTTTCCGGAACGACGCAGCTCTAGCCAACTTTTCCCGCTTAAACATGAACAGTGATAAAATAAAAAAGATGAGAATTCCCAAGGAGGTTCATCAGATAGAAAATTCCAAAAAAGATCATGGTAAACCATGCCAACAATGCCATTTTTTACTTTTAATATGTGACTGCCCGTTTATACTTTCTACACTAAAAAAGATTTAAATGCACATTCTTTTAGGCATTAGCTGCAAAATTTTGAGCGATAACAATATTGAGGCCTTGGTGCCTGGTCCAAAAGCTTCGCCTTATGAAGAGGGCATTTTCAAGATCTCTATATCATTCGGTGAGCAGTACCCATTTCGACCACCAACTTTTAAATTTATTACACCTGTCTACCACCCAAACATTGATAGTTGTAAGTTCAAACGTTTCCGAATATTAACATAGTATATGTAAAATAACATGTTTTTTATAAGCTGGTAAGATTTGCCTGGATTTATTGCGAATGCCTCCTAACGGTTCTTATAACCCTGCGATTACATTGGAATCAATTCTGTTATCTATTCAGTTATTACTGGCAAATCCGAACCCCGATGATCCATTACAAGGTGATGCTGCAGATTTGTACAAAAATAATAGGAAGCTGTTCAACGAAGAAGCAAAGAAGTTTGTTGCAAAGAACTGCAAATTTACAGTGGAGGATGATAATTTTGAAACTGAAATCGAAATTGATAAAAAGCGACTTAAACTAAGTTGTGAAGCCACACAAAAATAAATATTTTCAATTAAATAAAACTGATAAATTAATTACAGGCAGTGTTTTACCATCAATGAATGTTTTGTTAGGCGGACCTCTCGAATCGGGTAAAAATGCACAAATAATTTGTGGGAAATAATGGTTTGCATAGCCTATTTTTTTGATAGTTCATGGGAAAATTTAACACACTTCTGACCATTATTCGCCTATATTTTGTAAACTTACAATTTATTTATACTAGTCGTAGAATATTCTCTTTTTATGATTGAAAAGTTCGCAACCTAAGTTTTAAACAATACATCCATTAGATGGATTGAAAAGCAAAATATTCTCGAAATTCACATTTTCCAAGATATGAAATATGAATAAAAATTTTAAAACCGAATCAATTGCCACGTGTTTTTACCCTTTAAACTTCTCATTTGTTTCAAATAAATAAAACACTGACTGTTTAACATAAACTTAAATTATACATTTTGTTGATAATGCTTCATATTATTATTTTCATTTTGTTACGTAGGTAAATAATTAATGCAATGACAAACTGGACAATTTAGAATAAATTTACTTTCAACATCCAATACTATGTTCACCTCCATCATATTAAAGAAAACTAAAATGTTACAATGTTGAAAACGGATAGAAATGATATAAAATGTAATGATTGACAATTTTGAATAAATATAGATTGATGATTGATTTACACATACACACATTATACTAAACGGTAAGGATCTATTAGCAGTAATGAAAGAGATGGATGAGATACGATCTAAACGTGCTTTACAATTTATGTGTCTTGATGTTTCTCGTAAAAAGCATCGAGGTATTTTTTGTACTCTTTTTGGTCAGCCCACATCATGGCGGCCTGTGCGTTCAATGGACTGTCGTTGTTGGGCTCACCCAATAACGATTGAATGGACAATAAAATGGTGCGAACGTCATACAACGCTGACCATTTATCTTTTAAAATATCCAAGCATATTGCACCCTGCAGGTCTACGTTCGGATGAAAGCATGGCGTAAGAAATTTGACTACAGGAGGCGCGTATGGGTACGAATTGGGAAACTCCAAAGACAAACGGTACTTTTGTTGAGCATACACAGTGTTTACAGGCCCAGCAATAGTACCGATCCATTTGAATATATTTTCGCCGTCGGGAAATGCTGAGATACCCTTTTCGGTGGTCATCATAAGACTCATCAATTCCTTCTGTAGTCTGTAAATAAATTAACATTAGCATGAAGCAAAAAATATCTATAGGAATGCCAATGTCTTTTACCTTTTACTAACGGCATGATTATCTTTTATAGGCACTGAATCATCATTATGTTTAACACCCTGAGATCCTGAGAGGCCACTGTGTTCGGGACTTATATTTTGTGCCATTTCCCTGTTTTGTTGCTAGATGTTGTTGAGCGTAGCGTATTAACAAAGTTTGTTTATTCTGCCAATTTTGACGTTTTAGCCAACCATGGATAAAGTTTACAAAATGGAGATTGAAATTTGCAAAATAGGAATACGTATGTCGACTCACGACTATCGATAGGTAAGAACGATTTCGATTATTTGCTATCGACTTTTCAGTCGATTTGTCCCTGTTTCAAATATCTCATATCTGGAAGTATCAATTTGGTTGACCCTCCATAATTGACCCTTTTTCAACTTTTTGGGGGTTTTCTAAAAAATCCACACCAAAAAATGGTTAATTTGCCTAAAACTTCCGAACTGTGACCACTTACCCCCATATGATCAATTTTCAAAGGTATGTATTTTCATAAGTTTTCCAACGATACTTATTTTGTCTATATCGGGTAATTGGATCCGGGTCTAGTCGGGATCTTGAACCCGGACTTTCGAGCCAAAAATCTAGAGTCCCTGGTCCGTTCCCCAAGAAAAAAAATAGTTTCCCGGGATCAGGAAAAAATACCTACCACTGGAAAAAATTGAAGTGTTTTTACTAAACTAGAGTTAAGCCAAATGTTTGCAAATATAGATCCTCGGATAGCTTTTCATCAGTTTGGATCGGCTGAACTTGCAGTCCGTTTCCCCTTTTCTTTTTTTGCTTCTTTATTTCATTTTGGTGTAGTATAGATTTATTTCACGAATAAAGTTTGAAACGTGTAAAAAACTCATAATGCTATGGAAATTTCGTTTCATATTCAATATTTAGTTAAAGACAAAAAAATGTGCTAATTCTTAGGAATTTCTTTTTCCATTTTTGTTAATACAATATTACGATCCGTCTGAACTGATGTCGAGTCTGATTGTGCAAATTCTGAAAACTTTAGACGTTGACGTAATTCGAGAGCTCTGATATCCGTCATTAAAGAATGCTGTTTATTTTCCAAATCAACATCAATTTTTTGAGCATGATCTTGTAGAAAATTGAAGTTGGTTTTTGCTTCTTCAATTTTATCCGTCAGTTGGCGACGAATATCCCGAAGCTTTTGAACTTCTAAACACAATTGCTCGTGAGCAACATCCAAGCAAAGTTCCATTCCCGACCGTTGTGCTCTATTCTCTAAACGTGTTTCAGCTAGTTTACATGCGTCGGTTTTGTCCCGCAAAGACTGCTCTAAAGTTTTTATTTCACAAACAGCCTTTTCCATCTCCTCTTTCATCTGTCGCAAAGAGGAAGAACGTGTACTGCAGAATATTTAGTTTTAAGCTACTTACTTACTTTCAATTGCTGCCACTCTAATTCGTTTCTCGCCCTTTGTGTTTCGAAAATACGTTTTCTAATAGTGTGCTCTGTTCTTTCCTGTTGCGACAATAGCATATTACGGGCCTTTTCCCGGCATACAAACAAAGCTTCCCGTATAGCATATGTATCAGCTAGTTCGTTTTCAGCAAGCTGTTTCATTTGTCTTGTGTGTTCTTGCCAGGATTGGTAGGCACAATAACTTAAAAGTGTATATATAGAGAGTTTAACAATATAACATATATGAATATACAGGTAGTATACTTTTTCGGATTCCTTGTTGGGTCTGGCTTGTACGTAATATTTGCTGCAAATTTATCCAATGTTAACTGACGCATATCCAATTCCTCCGCTTCCGTTTTGTTAGTTACCTCGAGATTAAGTTTGAACTTGACTTCTTCTAGCCTTGATAATTTCTCCCAGGCTTTTTGACACTGTACTGCTAAAAGCCGTTGATTATTTTCAACGATTGTCAGTTCGTTTTTTATTTCTGTGTCAGCGTCATCGTATGTCATTTCCGCTCCCAGTCGGCAGTCTCTCATCGTCAGACATTCTCCAATGATGGAAAGTGGTGTTTGCATAGCATCTAATTCACGTTCAGTAGAAGCCTTTTCCTCTGTTAGCAATTTCATTTCACGTTCAATACGTTCCAGAGTAGTTTTTATAGAGATGCGCCATTGATTTAGCTCGGAAATGCTGTTAAAAATAAGATTTAAATAGGATTAAGTGTGTCGTAATTAACAAATGTTGAAGTGAAGTGAGTGTCAATAAATCCTTGAGGTGGGCCAGAAATAGAACGCTTGCTTAGTTTCAACCTTATTCAGCCAAACAAATTTATACTGACCGCTGGGCTAATGCTTCATTAGATTCCAAATTAGTCCAATCTGCTTCGATGCGAGTCTCGTTTCTTAAAGTTCTAGAGCTTTGGCGAACATTAAATGCATCATTACGTCTAGCATCAGCTATATTTCGTAATTTGTTGACCCGACTGTTCCAATCTGACAATGATAGATGTTGAAGTGGTTTCTCCAAAACTAATAACGATTGATATGCCATATCTTAAATATAGGAATTTAATTTTTGATTTCGATAAATTTAATAGTCAAAACGCTTCTACTTATTGAGTGAACACAGTAAAAAAGTACAATGAAGTAAATTCTGTCATTTAGTTTTATATTGAATTCAGTTTACTTTGGTTACCAAAATATGTTACCATGCCCCAAAGTTTGTTGCCGTGGAGTAGTTCCCTGTGTATCAACAATACATGTATGCATATAAACCTTTCTACGGTAGGTTGTTTATTAGTGAATAATAATCAGTTTTCATTTCTTATTTGTGAAATAGAAGGATAAATACAAATATCTTGGTTTTAAAAATGGAAATATGTTTTTACTAAAATTAAGTTATAAACATAGGAGGAGCCATTAGAAAAATTTAATGGCCCAGGATGCAGATCATATAAGTAGCTAACGTCTTTTCTTTTTTTCTTGCTTCCGAATTTTGTGCAACCTTCGATTTACAGGTTGTGACTCGCCGCTGCTGTTCGTTTTAGGGTCCTGTAAGCCAAACTAATTAGTTTTTGGTCAATTGTCCTTTAAAAATGAATAATACATACCTCTGTTGAGATTTCCTGGTCGTGATGTGAAGTATATGGCAGCAAAATCGATGTCAAAATACATGCTAATTGGAAAAATGCTCCAAAGTACAAACCCCACTTTAATATGGAACTAAATACATCGTCGTCCACGTATTTATCTAGCTTAGCCGAATCCATTAGAGAGATTGTTGTTTTTATTCTTGAGATATATCCTTGCGTTCAGAGCACGAAGCCGAACGGCTTGCAGTCGGCGCATAGCCGCCGCCGTGTTTTTTAAGTGATCTGAGCCGCCGCCAATGTATGCGGCTCTCATCGGCTCAAATTCTTAGCCGACTGATTCGGCCAAGCCGTGGAAACAATGTATATTGCATGTTTGTAGAAATATGTATTTTAATCTTATTAATTTTATCGATTAATAAACTTATTATTCCATGAGTCGAATGTACCCTAATGGGCCATAATTGATAGTGTGTACTCGTCTTCATAGAAGAGGCAAAAACATGTAGGCTATGAATATTAATTATACCCTACACCTCATAGTGGTAAGGGTATTATGTCTTTGTGTATTTATTTTCTATTACAAAACCTTTGGCAACCTTTTGTAACTTACGAATTTTGATGGAGTGGCAGCCACATGGTTTGCAAAAAAGTCGTAGTGTTTTGCTTGTTCATCAAAAGTAGGAAAAGCATTAATCAAAGATTTATAAAATGTGCCAAAGAAATATTAAAAACTATTTTTTAAAGAATTGTGGTAATGCAAAGAGAAGCAGCCTGCATCCCGCAATAGTAAAAAATACAATTGTTTGTTCATGATAACAATGCGGTCGTCGAACCATTTTTATCAAATAAGTATATTTTGTTATAATTATTAAAGTGCTATAAGCTACAAATTTGCATAATTTTTATTTAAATATTAAACCAAACAAAAGCCTTCGAATGTAGCCGACTTTTAGCCCCCGCGACCGTTTATTGCTTTAGCGGGCGTGCCGATTTTCTTTCGGCTGCAGTTGATTTTTTGCCGCCGCCGACTTTTTTGTGCTTAGTTGCCGCCGGGGAACTTGGCATCCTTTTGTAACCTTACCACTATGAATTGTAGGGTATAATTAATATTAATAGCACACTGTCAATTATGGTCCAATAGTGTGCATTAGACTTAAGGAATAATAAGTTTAGTAATCGATAAAATTAAAAGAAATTTTTATACAAACATGCTGTATGCATTTTGAGCCAATGAGAGCCGCATACATCGGCGGCGTCTCAGATCACTGTGAGCCGATCGGCTTCGTGCTTTGTTGGCCAGTCGAATTTAAGTGAAGGTTTTTTGTTATATTAATAATTGAAAAAATAATTACATTTTAGAATTGAAAGATTGTCAGTGAAACATCGGTTATGTCGTTGCAACGCATCAACAGTGTTCCCTTTAGGAATTTGTTTCATTTGAAGAATCCTAAGCGGTATGCGGTATCACGTAACATCGTTGGTCGACAATTTGCTACAGCTCCAAAACGTACTGCTGGCGGCCCGAGTACATTAAAGTTAGCAATTTTAGGCTCCACTCTAGGAGCTACTGGAGGCACCGTTTACTCTCTTTATAGTAATTGGAAGGATGGGAATTCGCATAAGGAACATGAGCGATCTGCGCCGGCTGTTGTTGCAGAATTTCCCGAAAACGTAAAGATAACAAAAAGATTTGTGAATCCCAAGGATACTTCGGGATTAGATGTAACCCTGTTCCAATTTCAAACGTGTCCTTTCTGCTGCAAAGTGAGAGCATTTTTAGACTTTATGGGAATTTCATATAAAGTCGTAGAAGTAGATGCCGTCTTGCGGCAGGACATAAAATGGTCAGCCCAAAAAAAAGTTCCAATGGTACTGATAAGGCAGCGAGATGGGCGATATGTGCAGATGACCGACTCCAGCGCAATAATATCATTGATTGCGACCTATTTGAACGATAAAAGTACTGATATTGGTGAACTGGCACAATATTACCCGACCATTTCATTTTTCGACGACAACCAGAAAAAGAAGCACGATATTATGAATAAATACTTCCTGATGTATAGGGACCAAACACCCAAAGGACATTCAAAGGATACTGAAGAGTATGTATATATTAAATATAAGCCTAGACATATACACATGTATTTATAGATTGTTACTTCCTAACCTTTTGTTTTGAATATCCTTCTCAATTACGCCCATGAAAAAAGTCCTTATTTTTAGATAGTATACATTTATAGTCGAATTCTGTGAAATAACTACTTTAATGAGCAATCATTTTAAAAATTTTACAACATGCAGGTACTTTTAACCTGATTACAGCAAAGTAATTTTTTCGTGAGAGAATACCCGGTTATTCTACCCGAAAGTTCGTGTTTTATCCGGTTCCACAAAACCGATATATGCGAAATGTTCATGGAAATATCTTTGCAACAAGTGGTTATATGATGGGGTTTCGGTGCAATAAAGGAAAATTAAACTGTTTATACCGAAACTATTCGAAAGACCCCTAAAAAGTCGAAAATGGACACATTATGGGGTATCAAGATGTAAAATATGCAGTACCGAAGATATTGGTCATAAAAAAATGATGGAATTAAGATTTTCTCCACACGAAATAATTACTTTGCTGTAATCTGGTTTAAAATACCTATTTGTGATAATAATTTCAGTTCGATCCGTGCACAGTCCCTAAACTCACTTAAGCATATTTTAGTTATGGGCTTTTCTATATTCTAAATAAAGTTATTGGCATGCAAATTTTGTTATTTATAAAATACGTTGCAATTAAAAAGCCAATGGGTCTATGAATGTCGCAACAAGCAAAAAAAAAAAAAAAAAAACCTGAGAAGTACAAAACCACAGACAAATGTTTCACCAATTTAAGAATATGTAACATAATTAAAGCCAATTGTTTCTTTGTGTCTTTTGACACAACAAGTCTAACGGATACATTTCTCACATCCTCTGAGGCTAAACTGCTCCTATAACAAAACCAGTGGGCCGATAAATCAAATACGTTTTGCGTTACAAGATATTTTATCTAACTTTTTTTTTAGGCTGGAGCGTAAATGGAGAACTTGGGCCGATTCTCATTTGGTCCATCTTATTTCCCCGAATTGTTATCAAACTTTGGATGAAGCCTTCGAAACATTTGAATGGTTTTCACAGGCAGGCGAATGGGATATACATTTTCCTCATTGGGAACGTAATTTGATGGTGTATGTAGGGGCTACAGCCATGTGGGGAATTGCTAAAATTCTAAAGAAAAGACATCAACTCTCTGACGATGTACGATCACACATATACGACGCATGCAATAAATGGACTAAAGAGTTGGCGAAACGTAATAGCAAATACATGGGCGGCAAACAACCAAATTTGGCGGATCTCTCCGTATTCGGAGTTCTCAGTAGTATGGAAGGCTGCCAAGCATTCAAAGATTGTGTACAAAATACAAACATAGGTGCGTAAGAAATTAATTGGAAGTGAAAATGTTTTAAACTAATTTTTCTCTTGCAGGCGAATGGTTTTACAGTGTAAAGGAATTGATTCAAAAAAATCGTGGTCAACTAATACGCGAACGCATTGAAGGCGAACTTCCCACTATGCTGAATGCTGCTGCAAACTAATTTTATAAAAAAAAATTTGTTAATAATTGTTTTCCCCCTTAATATTTATTAAATTTTATTCAATAATGTGTCGCTTTTTCGAAATTACCTTATTTGTGTAAATATATCGATAATTTTGAAAAAAAAAATTCCCATATAGAAAATTAAATTTTACTGGATAAGAATTTGGTAGGTGGCAATATTTTTTAATGAAACCCATTAAAAGGTATCCTTAGCCGTATGGCTACGGAGCTTATATATCATTTGATACAGCCAAAACGTGCTTTCTCTCTTTGGACTAAATCCGTTTCAGCACATTTGGAGTCGATCTAGATCGATCGATCCGTCGATCTGGCTGGTGAGGACGATAGCTCTCGAAGGGAGTATCCGATTTGATTCAAACTTGGTACAGTGGTTGTACATCATTTGATGCGGCCAAAACGTGCTTTATCGAAATAACGGTTTAAGACCCTAGGTCTCTTTGAACTAAATCCGTTTCAGCACATTTGGAGTCGATCTAGATTGATCGATCCGTCGGTCTGGCTGGGGAGCACGATAATTCTCGAAGGGAGTATCGGATTTGATCCAAACTTGGTACATCATAAGATTTTTGTCAAACTTAAATCGAATTCGGAGATGTGCAATATCGGTCCTTTCCTTCTAGTACCTCCCCCACAAAAGGTCAACAATTTCACAGAATATGAATATGGAATATATAATATGTAATTTAAAGAGTTGCTTCGCTTGTCCGAAAATGGTGAACTGCCGAATTTGGTTTTCCCCGATAAGAAAACATTCGTTGTCCAGCTGTTTGCTTGCCAAAGAGTTCAGCTGAAAATGTGCACCTTCGGTTGGCCCCCAGAACTCAAGCGCCGGGCATGGTAATGGTGTGGGCCACCATAACAGCCGATGGTCGCTCTCCGCTCGTATTAATCGACCGTGACATCAGGGTGTATTAAGCCTTGGAGTGTGGAGGGTGTATTAAAACCTTGGGCACGCAAACATTTTGGCCGCAAATCTTGGACATTCCAACAGGACTCAGCACCATCGCACTCAGCATGCGCCACCCAAGCGCACAATGGCCACCAAAATCTCCGGATATCAATCCGATGGACTATTGCGTCTGGAGTATTTTGGAAAGCTCTTCATTGGCCGTTTGAATTCCATAATTCGTGCCAAAGGTGACCAATTCGAACAAATCTAAACTTATTCTAAAATTTGCTGCTATTTTCAACATTTTTTGCTTCCATTCAATAAGATTTAAAAAAGAAAATGTAAAAATTATGGCGTTTGACTTTGTTGCAGTTTTTTTTTGTCTCACCCTGTATATATGTACGTACAGTGGCCCGCCCATTCATTGTTGTTTAAAAACAATATTCGCTATCTAAACATTTTGTCCATTTAAGAATTTTATATTGAAAATTGAAAATGAAACAAAAAATAAATATAAAGTCACGATAAATAAACACTAACTTTTATCAAATAAGATAAGATAGATGGTCCGCATTGGATGTTTGTATCCATTTATGGGTGCACTTGGAAAAATTTCTTGATATTGATGGTAGCAAGGGTGAAACATTCGAAATGTTATCCGCAATGGGTGCATTTTCCCTTTCTCTCTCTCTCTCTCTCTCTCTCTCTCTCTCTGATTGAAGGCAAAACAAAAAAATCGGTTAAGTTTTTGATAAAGGTTCTATATACCGGTAAGGCCAGATTTTAGATTTTAGGAAGGTGCTGGCCGAAGTGTCAGTAATAGCAATCTTAACTCTCTAATGAAATGATAAAAATCCAAACAGTCGGCACGGTCTCAGGTCCTCTGTCAAAAGTAATTCTTTGCCAAGAGAAATTCCTCGTCTGTATATCTTATAAGAAAAGACCACTGACGTGTTAATAAGCAACAATGTTTCGATAGACCTCGCACTAATATTTACAAGTTCAGTATTTCGGAGGGGTACCGGGACGACCCGCTGTTTATGTTGCTGAAATAGCCGATGGCTTTTGAAAATATTGACTTTATTGATACGTACTGTCATTGGCGTTCGTGGGATCATAAAAAACAGGTTTGCGGCAGTACCTTCCTTTGAGTGCAGAAACTGAAATAACTGACTCTCAGACTATTTTCTTAAGGTGTAGATTAGATAGCCGCTTTCGCTGATAATATATATTTGTAACAAGTCGTATCATATGTAAAATTTTTATTTTTGAATTCAGTGACTTCGTAGGAAGTGGAAGCAGCAGTTATTTGCAGTAAAATGTTGAAATTCGTGACATTTATATTCATAGGTAAAATATTTGACAGCCAATTATAACCAGTGATCTTTGTGCATTAATTTGAATTCAAACCGCAAATCGGAAGCAATTTTGTATTCCCAGATTGTGGCTGTTCCGGTCTCCAAATGTGCCCCGACTTCAAGCTGTGGTAACAGTACCTCAACGGAACCCCTGTGCATTTTGGATGAGGAGAACGGCTGCATACGTCAGTACCCCAGTAAATGCCACTTGGACATAGCTGGTTGTGTACAAGGAAAAAGTAAGACCCGGGAAATGAGGATTATGAACCTTCCGATGTGACCATGCTAAACGCTTCGTTTTGAACAGATTTTACAGATTTCAGCAGCGTGTATTGTATGATGGATACGTACCTGTGCGAGGGCCAATACGAACGTTGGACCATATTTTTCGGACATGAATAATAGCTACACGATCCATAGGTGTGTCAACGTAATGCAATTAGTTCGAAAGTTTAATCTCTTTAAAGATGTGATTTTTATTAATTTTGTATAGATTGAGTTGAAAAATAATTAAATTGTATAAAAAAGAAGTCAAATATCTGATGAATTATGGGCAATAACACAAGACAAATGTGGGGCATCCTAGCCAGATATAGCTAGAAGTTGGAATGCCAATAAAGCAGTCGCAAATGATGACAAAAACATCTTAAATGCGGAATATCGGATGGTACGGTTACAATTAATTGCGAGTATCTCAAGGCCAAATTGCAACCAATTTGATTGTAGTCCGGAGCTACCGTTATGTGTGGGCTAGGCCTTAACGTGTATCCATATGACCCAACAATTCTTAGGTGTATGGTATGGTGTTACTTGGATACCGTTCGCATGAACTGAATTCTTATAACTGCGGTCAGCTTCTGATTGGCTGATATGTTTCAGACCGAATTCAACCATTCTCGCTTGTAGTAGTTTACTAGCAAAAAGTAAAAAAGGGGTGATATTTTAGATAATATCTCTTTGGGGCAACACTAGTTTAAATAGCACACGTACTTTTCGTGTTTTGCTTCACTATCAAACATCAAACATGAATTGCCTTGTCTTGAAAGCCGAGTTCGGTGAACATTTTATTTCACGTTCGGGACCGGTAGATCGTGCGAGGTGAAAAAATATTACAAAATATAAACTTCAATATTATAAGTCAAATTGAAAAAATTGCATGCGATAAAAATCATGAAAAAATTAAAAATGTTACAAAATCTATATATCATCATTATTAGCATCTTTTTATGCGATTTTTTTAGACTTTATACTTTTATGCCAAGAGGACATTCTGAATTGACAACAATTGTCAAAATCGGTCCAGCCATTCTTGAGATAGAAGCACTCTAGCTAACATCCCCTTCCTTTGTATATACAACTTGTATGTATTTCGCTATATATATATATCCGATATATTTGCTATCGGCATATGCGTAATGGTCAGAATTGTCCTGTTCGTCTACTTGTGATTTCGTCGGGTTTAAAAATATTCGCGGTTTAATGGAAAAATTGAATTTGTCAAACACAAATGTTATGGACTCAACAACCAGCCCTTAGGTCTAGCCCCATGCTAACTTCCGCTTTGATTGGTCCATAATTGCAACCTGTAGAGCAACTGCAAAATCAGGAAATTTTTCCGTTTTTTGGTCCATTTTAACCCCTAAATATTATGCGATCATCTCCAAAAGTAATAGGCTCATATTCTGGCCCTAGCCTCACCTCCATTCTAAATTCCGTGAAGATCGGCCCATAATGGCCTGTAGAGGTGTTTCGAGGTGTTCCATAATTTTTGGGCCAATCAAACTTATAATACACATAATGTTGTAGGGTATAATAAATTAATATTTTCGTTTTCTTTTCAATAATTTAATAAAATAAAACAATAATTTAAAATTCATTCAATCACACGATTGTCATAGCTTCAACTTATGTGTCGTGTGTATCGCGAACATCCGTTACTTAGCCACTCCACATTTCCATGAAGCGATTCATTAATGCCTTCAAGGGGGCCATACCAACCAACACGACATTTCGGGAATTTTCTGGAACTTCCGTCGTTGTAGTTGTTGTCGACTTCTTTGTCATTTCCTCGCTCTCATAGCTGCCCGAGTCGTCATTCTTTGTCATATCAAAGATGGAAAAGACATTCTTGCGATTTTTGAAGCGTGGCAATATGTCGGGTACCCGATTTTTCAGCAACATTCCCTGCCTCACAAATGGTGTATTCGGCATCAATTGGTTATCTTCTCGCGAGATTTCATTGTCCAAATGGTCGAATTCGGGATCCATTAAAAGTTTGGCTAATTTCTCTCTCAATTTCAAGCCGGGTTCAGCAAATACTACTGTCGACAGCACTGCAAGCAAGATATAGAACATCAGTATTTGTGACTTCCAGATCTCGAGCAAAAAAAATGGCTTCAGAAAAGTAATATCGATGCTTACCCACTACGAGAATGCATGCCGTAAAGTTGACCCTGGTGTAAATCATCTCCGTTGGAAATATAATAGATGTATGTACCTTTGATCTGACAAATGCGAACTCAACTGGCCATAAACAAATAACTCGAAGATATTTATAAAAGTATTCAGTATCTGGACATACGTGCCGATTGTATTATATTTGCAAAATTTGAGCCGCATAGCTAGAGACAATATCACGTTCAGGCAAGACGAAGAAAAAGCATAGCACTTCTGGGTAGACTGGAAGTCACAACAATCAATGAAAAACGCTGGGTATTTACGGAAGCAAATGTGCATGTGACTTTCAGAAGAGATTTTTTTCGCATTTATTGTCCGATTGAGATGAGATTTTTCATACATCATTTGTTTGGCCCAAGAATGAAATTAGTGATACAGCTCCCATATATATTTTCCTCCGATTTCAGTTTAATTGTGCGCCAAATGTGTAATATTCGCCCATATGGGATGTATATGGGCACATTCTACCAAATTCAGCTTGGAAATAGGTACTTCAAATTTGGTGGTACAGCTATTGCCCCCATATATATGTTTCATCCGAGTTGGCATTTAAGTCCCACATATTCTTAATATGCACTGCACAAGAACGATATTTTCCTTTCAGGTTTATTGTGCACCAAATGGCTAATATAACGGTACCTCCCGGACCGGAATTATTTCAAATTTCGTATTTGAAGTTCATAATATGTACTACGTCTATGACAACAAATTTTGTATGCAGGTCCACGTCTTTTGTATAGCCCCCATATAACAGTACATCTCGATATTCAGTACTTTGATGATTTCAGCAACATTATTCCCCGGAATCGTTTTAAATTTCGTATTGGAAAATCTTAATGGGTATTACAATATATGGTAAAAATTTTCGTATGCAAGTCCACATCATAGCCCCCATATAACGGTATAATTTTTCGACAATATTCACCGGAATTGTTAAAAATTTCGGGTTTAAAGTTCGTAATGGGTATTACAATCTATGACAAATAATTTCGTATGCAGGTTCACGGTTTCGTATAGCCCCCATATAACGGTACCTCCTGATATTCGATATTTTTATGATCTTAGCGACATAATTCACTGGAACTTTAAAATTTCATATTTGAAGTGCGTAATGGGTACTACAATCTATGACAAAAAATTTCGTATGCAAAAAAATTTCGTCCCCATATAACGGTTTTCATTTATGTGGTAGTTTTCCGATTTTTTTGAAAATTTTCAAATTCCTTCCAAAGGGTGGAGGGTATTAAAAATTTGGCCCGGCCGACCTTACCTCCTTTTTTACTTGTTTATGTTATCTTATAACGTGTGGAGAATCTTCATTCTTTATTACTCTGAAAGGTATGGCCATATTTGTGTCTGAGGAAAATCCCGATCTGATCTATCGTATCCTTCTTTATTTTACTAATATATTAGTAGGAGAACTGAACTAAAAGTAGTAATTAAGAGAAATGTAAAATTTGGTCTAGGAGAATAAAAAAATATTTCAACATTAAGTGACAATACTTTAAAATCATCAAATCAGCCATTCAGCGTTGTCAGGCTGCTACTAATCGGCCAACACTTTCTGGTAAAAACTTTACAGCAATTTTTGATAGATTTGCACACAAATTTTTCCAGTTATTTTTTGAATGCAGGAATGATAAGTTGCAAAATTGGTAAAAATAGTATATTCTTGGACGTTCTTGGAAGAAAGCTACAACTTCACCCGATGAGTTTTCCTCCATTTGAAATTATACAAATCACAAATATACAATATTTTTTGTTGTAATACCTATATTGCTATTTGTTGCTGTAAATTGACACACACACACACAAAGTAATGTAGACAAACAGCAGTTGTACACACCAAGGTTACCCACTTATCGTAATCGGCACCATACCGGTTTTTATTAAATAATTCCATTTGATAATTGGATGAAATAAACCGATGAACAATATTTTTGAAAGGTTCAATAAGAAATATCAATAGAAGCGTTTCGGGTGAGATGAAAAAACTGCAACCATCTTCAGACTGCTGTCATTTCTCATTTTCCATTGACAGCTCATTATGTTGTTTGCAACATCAAACGCACCAATCAAGGGCTTCTCCCGAATAAGTCAAAATACCGCAGAGCAACATTCGGGCTGCATGTGACGGTTTCATTGGCCGTTTGAAGGCCATAATTCGTACCAAAGGTGACCAATTCAAACAAATCTAAACTTATTCTAAAATTTGATGCTATTTCCGACATTTTTGCTTTCATTCAATTTAAAAAAAATGTAAAAATTATGGCGTTTGACTTTGTTGTAGTTTTTTTTATCTCACCCTGTATTTTTTGCTGTTGCGGTGTATGTTCTTGCACTTTTGGAATTTAAATTTTTCAATATTTGCCAAATGTAATATTGCGATATTTCAGCTCACGAGTCATTTTTCGGTCACTGCGACACGGGTTTCGATCAAGTCGCATTCTTATTTGACGAACCATTTCTGCTGGTGTTGCTGTTTTCTTCCGTCCACTTCCTTGACGTCGGACTACGCTACCAGTATCACGGTAACGAGCGATGGTACGAAACCCAAAAATTTTTTTCACATTTAAATGCTTGAGTGCTCTAACAATAGCCACTTGTGGTTTTCCAGCCAAATATAAATAAATCACAATATAAAGCTTGAATTCAATCACTAATAACTTTTTTACTGGAAAATTCTCACCAAAATGCTTTTGTACTCTTCTAAATAATATGAGCTGTCACTGGAATAATTTTAATAGCAGGCGGACGAGTGGCTTAGAAATGACAGCAGTCTGAAGTTGGTTGCAGTTTTTTCATCTAACTCTGTATGTGGTGGATCTATCCGATTTGAATGTAGCTTACAAAATTTAGCTTCGGAGAAACATAAAGATACCTTTGAAAAAATCAATTGATTGGAGTCTATACAATTTTATCCTTAGTCTCTCATTGATTTATTAGATCTAGATAAAAATAAGACAAGAAATGTGTGCAATACTTGTGCTTTAATAATAACAAATGGATTTCAACTTTTTAGAACTATTTAATGTTAACTTTATTTTTTTTTTTTGGATGGCAATCTGGTTCCGATGTCACGTTTTCTTGTCCAGCAATTGATAGTGGATGCCTTTGCAAGACCATAAATATTCATTGAATTGGTAGAATTGTCCACATATTCGCCAGACACAACCTAATGTTCAGGGGGCGGAACAAAAAACAAAAACACACAACAAAACATTTGTTAGTTGTTATTTTTGGAGCTTGTTAAAATCGCAATGCAACACTGACCCACTAAGTATCGAAGTACTCGCAATATCACCATGGCGGGGCGGCTTTTATTCGAAAATGATACTGAGTTCTTTGTAACAAAGTGCCGTTATCTACACCGAGCTGCGTACGCGACGAAACTTAGAACGGATATGAAGGCAAAACATCCAAATGCAACGGTTAAATTGGCCAAAAAGAAGAATTATTAACTGCAACTTGGGTGTTTGGCAGTCACTCGAGCGATCGCAGCTGTGGCTGTTCTACCGGTAAATTCAGGTGCCGGTTCTTAAAGGTGCCAGTCTCTCTGTGTGTGTGTGTGTTTTTGCGGGGCAGCGACTGGTGACGTTTGCAGGTTTTAAATTTGGCAAGTTACAAAACCGAAAATTTGTCTATTTACTTTTTAAGCAAGATTACAGTTAAAGACACAGAACAACCATCTAGATACGTTTGTACGTATGTATGTATGTATGTACGTATCTATCGTGCATTCTGTCTGCCGTTAAGTATGCACGAATTCGGCAAGGAGTTGCAGCGTAATGATTAATAGGCTTGCTACGTATATCGCGAGTTTTCTAGACTGGCGATTGGGCAATCTGCAAGAGAACATTTGCCAAAAACGTTTGCCGAAAAAAAAAACCGTGTTGGTGTTGGTATTACAACATACAATCGAGGTAGAGATTTAAAATAACAAGGCAGCAAATATTTTTTTGAAATAAAACTAAATACGAACACAACATCGGATGAAGGATGGAAAAATATTCATTTGCAATGAACAGCAATAAATTAAAGGCTATTGTTCCCTAATGGAATACTTTAGAGATAATCAATCTAAGAATCGCAATCAATCTAAAGCGAAACAAAATTATATTTGTGAAAAACTCATGTTCACTTGATTAACACTGAAACATCTTAAGTTTGGTCTATAACTTAACCATGGATCGTCTTACTAACGAACAACGCCTAAAAAGCATTGAATTTAATGATTAAAATGCGTGATCTGTTAAGTAGATTGAAAAACCGTTTTTGGATCAATGGGTATCTAAATAAGGAGACATATCGATTTTGGAGTAAAGATCAGTTCCAAGCCGAGAAAAAACTACCAATACATTCAGAAAAAGTCACCGATTGGTTTGATTTATGGGCATCAGTGGACCGTACTTCTTCAGAAATGTGAATCGTAATGCAACACAGCAACGACGGATTTATTGATAGGAGAGTTCGTGGGCAATTGACCGGCGGCGTAGATCGCGCGATTTAATGCATTTAGACTATTTATTGTGGAGCTATGTCATGTCTATACAGACGAGCTCACATCAATTTACAATTTAGAAGACAACATTGAAGCATTTATTTGTGAGATACCGGCCGAAATATTGGAAAGAGTATTTCAAAATTTCACTATTTTTATAACCTACACCATACGTAGTATGGAGGGTATATTATGTTCGTTCTTCCGTTTGTACCTCATTGAAATAATAATTTTAGACCCAACAAAGTATATATATTCTTGATCAGCGTAAAATTCTAAGACGATTTAGACCTTTCCCTCCGTCCGTCTGCTGTAATCACGCTACAGTCATAACAAATTAAGATAGGAAGCTAAAATTTTGCAAAAATCGGTCTTTTGTCTACAGGCAGGTCAAGTTCGAAGATGGGCTATATTGGTCCACCATATCGTATAGCCCCCATATAACAGTACCCCCCAATATTCGGTATTTTGATGATTTTAGCCAAATTTTTCAACGGAATTGTCTGAAAATTCGCACAAGGAGTTTCTTCTGATTACTTTGTCACCTAGAAAAGAATTGTATAAATAGGTCCACGATTTAGTATAGCGCCCATATAACTGTACCCCCAGATATTCGGTATTTTTTATGATTTTTGCGACATTATTCACCGGAGTTGTTTCAAATTTCGTATATAAAGTTTGGAACCGTTACTGCAGCTTTTGACACAAATTACTTACGCAGGACCAGGAGAGGAATTTTCGGTCCGTCCGGTTATTATATAATCATGTTTGTGTTGTTACAAATATCCATTGGGTACTCAATTTTGTTATTAAAATTTCATAATTACAATATCAATATTTGATTGCTTGACATTCGTTATGCTATAGATTGATTGTAGCCCCCTTCACCGGGAAAATCTTTTGGATTCATTTCGGATGATGGCATATGCATCTCCACTCTATCAACACTGTTTTAATTATATTTAATTAATTATCGTTTATTAGTAGTAAAAATAAAACCATATTGTAACATTCGCATAAATATTGCAACTTTTTTGTTTATATCTAAATTTAGAATTAAACCAATAAAGTTTTGTTGCTTCGACAACAATACCAACAACTAAGACAAGTTCACTTTTAATTGAATTTCAAAAGCTTTCGAGATGCCTTTGAATGTTATTTTGGCAAACAATGCAATCTAATCGCCATTGTCTGTCCACGATACCTAGTATTGATCATGAATTCATCCAACCACTCAAGCGTTAGTACAACCTGCAGCCAGCCAACCAACCACTCACAGTTTAATTACAACACGTTTGTTACCATCGGAAAAAAACCAAACTACAATGTGGCAGTCAGAACCAGTGCCACATATTCAATGTTGCATGTGGCATGCAATTTGCAACATATCGCAAGATTATCCACACTAGCTTGGGTTACAAGAACCTATTGGCATCATATGTCATATGAATGGTGCCCTATATAAAAATTTATTAATTTTGGATCTGAGGTTTTCTAATACTTCCAGAAGACAGCCAATTCAGAAGAAGATCCTCCACATTTTGAGTTGGCAATTAGTTCGCACCCTCGTTAATGTTCCAAAGGCCTCGATGAGGTAATAGACGCTTTAATAGCTGCAATAAACTTAACTTTGTGGTTTTTTCCGTTGACTTGGGTTCTTGCTTCGATGGTTGAATGCAAGACATTTTGGGTACAAGACACGGCCCAAAAACCATTTCCATTTACCAAATTCAAGTTAACGCTATTCACCTTCGATTTTTATTCGAACGAGTATCAGGTTTATGTTCGCACCTGGAAATAAACAAAAAAAAACATATCAATACAATGATTACGTGCTTTTTCTGTATGGTTTGTGGCAAAGATCGTTTCGTGTTTGAAAGCTATGTTTCGAATGTTATATTTCTGATGCGAAGCTGCCTCAAGGTATGCTTTAGTTTGGTCATAAATGGGTTTAAAAGTGCGAACCTTTTCCGGTTGTTTAGAAAAATTTAGTATTTTCATGGGCTATAGCGAACAAAAACATTTCCATGCCTCAAAAGGAAGAACTTCTGAGAAGTCTCGGACTTCATGCTTAAATCTGAACCGAAGTTGACAAAATGTATTTCTCGGCTGTTTGCGATATCTTGTACCGAAAATTATTGTTGTAGATTGCATGTAACCACTTTGGGAAGGCATAAATATCAAATGGGCTGAAAAGTATATGCGGGAGGTAAAGCTATATCTGAACCGATTTTATTTCTACCATTAATTCAACTCTATCTACTAAAACCCTCCTTCGTCGGGAAGAGATTACACATTTGGTGCACAAAAAACATGAAATTGGATTAAATTAAAACGCGAGTTATATCCAAATCTCAACCGATTATTCACGATTGGACAAGATTTGCGACGAGTGCTGCAGCTCACAACAATAAATTGAGAGGAAGAATATGAGAACATTAAAATTAAAAATTTTAGAAATATTTCTGCGATATTTTGAATTTTATTGTCCGAAATCCCGAAAATATGTCTTTTTTAAATTAAAAAATTGTATTGAAAATGTATAGCTTTTTGGACACATAATTATGAAAATAATATTATTAAAAAAAAACAATTGAATTGAATATTATGTACAAACAAAGAAAAGTAACTATATTGGGGGTCGTTTGTTTTGGTTGGTTCGCCGACAGATTAATAGACCTATTCATTTATTGTGTTTATCCTCAAATATCCACCAGCAGAGATTCGATTTTAAAACAAGTTCTTCGAGCCACGCTAATGTCTCCCTTTGTTTATATTTCATTCATTGTGCTTCTTAGCCACTTACCGGCTTTCAACTTTTCTTTTGCTTTGTTATTCTTTGTTTTGATTAGAGATGCTTTGTTTACATATCTCGTACGAAAACAATTCTCAGTGTGAGAGGTTTTCTGATCGTTGAGAGAGCATATTATCCAGAATATCTCAGCTGAGCTCGTGACAGCGCTGCCAACTGCGAAGCAGCGTAACAAGAATGAATGAATTTTGATAAGGAATGACCCGAACGCAACGAGCCACGGGCAGGCCAGGCATTTGAATTGCAATTGAATTGATATTAGAGAAAAAGAGATAGCCACATAGAATAATTTTGTTTGAAAATGAACGCTCAAGATGGAATTTGTATGGCATTTTTTTTGAATAATTAACACTTTTCGTCGCAGAATTATGAAATAATGTAATGCAAAATGCTGCTTTGGACTCTTCTAAATAGTTTACAATGCTGATATTGAAAAAATATATGGTTTCTTAAAAAAAGATTATGTCCAGACAAACTCTTCGTACCTACGAAAATTTTTAGGGATGTATTTTTCGTTGTTGGGATTTATCGGAGAGTCTTAATGTTTTGATCAGTGTTGCCACCAATATTACACACGAAGGGTGATAATATTACACATTTTGGGAAAAATTACACATATATCAATATTTTTTTTAATAGAAGTATTTTTTTTTGTTGTTGTTTTTTATTGTTGACCTGTATATTGATTCTTATTAACTTTATTTTGGCTTAAGGTCAATTGAAAAACATCAGTGTTTTCTTTTTACAATTTTGATTTTTATTTTCCGATATTTCGACTGTCTTCGACAGTCATCTTCAGGGAAAAATGCTTTTATTGAGAAAAGCAACAGTCTTGTTTCACCGTCTTGTTTCACCGTTTAGCATAGACAAATTTATATAATAATTTTTATTGTTTGTTTAAAAATTATACTATGTAGAAAAGAGCAAAAAACAATATTAAGAATAACACCTTTTAATGTACCTGTCATCATTTCGCACAGCAAACGTTTCCCGGCGATTGGTTCGCAAACTATACAGCTCGGCAACTCACAGCCGAAGTACATTAAGGCAATCGTATTGTTTGTGTACTTCAGACATTGAAATGTTTGTGGTTTTGTTTTGTTTGGAGTACAAAACGATTGAAAAAATTGTAAAAGTTTGTGTCTTCGTGAGAGGGGTATGTTAATCGTTTCGCTTGTTTTCGTTCGCTTAATCATACTCACTTCCTGCCTCTCCCAAAAATCATCAGCTAAATATTATTTCTGTAGTAGCATTTGAGAAGGGAAGGATTATAAAAAGTGTTAAAAATAGTAAGACTATAAATTACACATTCCACTTATTGCACATGGGTCACACATGCAACAAAAAATTACACACAATATGTGTAATTACACATGAGGTGGCAACACTGGTTTTGGTTTTTGTTTTTGGGATTTATGGGACAGTCTCAATGTTTTGGTTTTTGTTGTTGGGATTTTGGGAGAGCGCAGAGCGCGAAGCCGCACACACGAGTAGGGTCCCCACTATTTCTCAAAAGTCCACTTACAAGATTTAAAATTGTGTGCAATTTCCTACAAATTCGTTACTTCTCTATCAAACGCCATCCAGTGAGGTTGGGATGGTCTCCTGGAAAGAATAAAGCAACGAAAAGTGAAAAAAAAGAAAGAATATTAAAAGAAGTGAAGTGACAAAATACAATTAAAAAAAGGACTATTAAGGACTTGATAGTTGTGTGGGAAAATAATAATAAGGTGTTAAAATTCTAAAACACAGCCACAATGGGGTGTAACCGCAATGCCCCAGTGCTGGTGTGGCTAGCGGTAGTGTTTGTAGCGTCGGCCGTTATTCAAACAAACGCTGAGTTAACGCCACCATATTTCAATTTAGCCACCGGACGCAAGATTTATGCCACGGCCACGTGTGGCAGTGACACAGATGGACCCGAGTTGTACTGTAAATTAGTTGGTGCCAATACCGAAAACGATCCATTCGATTATTCGGTTATTCAGGGTCAGGTAAGAAGCTATGCCTGCCCAGCGGGGGGTTGTGCGTGCATGTTTTGGCCGTTTTTTTTTAATTTATCTTAAAATAATTTTTGTTTGCTTTGTCGAGTAAATATTTGAATGAATTTTTTGAGCTGTATGAATGGTTCTTGTTTGTTTTTGTTTATCTTCTAACAACAATTGAGTGTGTGTGTGTGAGGTAGATAGATTAATTACGGATTTGAAAACTAAAAAAAATAAAACTAAAAAAAAATAAAAAAAAAAAAATTAAATTAAAATATTTATTTGATTCAAAATTTGTATTAAAAAATAAAATAATGACAATTTGGAACTGAAAATTTTAGAAAAAGAACATTGTTGTTAGATGAAATTAATTATTAAAAAAAAACTTCACTAAACATGTGTATGGGTATTCTGTCTGTATGTGGATGCGTGCGTGCATATGCATTTCTGATCTGAGATTCAGGCTTGTTCATTCTAAAGGGAATATTTTAAATCTATTATTTCTGGATCTCCATTGACTTTATGTTTTGTTTGTCCTTATCTTCTTCTCATTTTTAGGTCTGTGATTACTGTGATCCAACCATACCCGAAAAGAATCACTCACCCGAACATGCCATCGACGGCACTGAACAATGGTGGCAAAGTCCTCCGCTATCTCGTGGAATGAAATTTAATGAAGTCAATTTAACAATTGATTTTGGCCAGGTAAGCAAGAAAATAAAATACCTACAACAGTAAAAAAAAACTGGAGCTGTGGAAAACGAAGAAATTCAAAACCTTTCGACACAAAAATTCTTTTGTACAAAGAGGCGTTGTTGTGGCCCTATTGGCAACGGTAGTGTCATTAAAACAAAACAAAAGCAAGATAAATACTGCCAAACTGCATAGCAAACGGCAAAAAAGGTACAACCTGTTTCGAGAAGGAAATCTTCAAAATCATTTCTGGTACACTGAGGCAAGACAGGGCAATAAGTTTGGTAGGATATGGGGTTTTATGTGAGTGGATGTAGTTTCCTAGGTGGTAACGATGTGAAGAATACAATTTTAATTTTAAAGTTCCAGCAAACGGCAAAAAAGGTACAACCTGTTTCGAGAAGGAAATCTTCAAAATCATTTCTGGTACACTGAGGCAAGACAGGGCAATAAGTTTGGTAGGATATGGGGTTTTATGTGAGTGGATGTAGTTTCCTAGGTGGTAACGATGTGAAGAATACAATTTTAATTTTAAAGTTCCAGAATTTATATTTTCTACCTCATACTTTTTCGATCAAATTTTTTACAGTGCATTTCTTGTTGCCCTAAAAACATGACAGACTCCTGACGAAAGCATGTCTGGCAAAAAAAAAACAAACTTGTAGTTAATAATTTATGACTCTTGTACAAGGAGAAAATTAAAAAAAAAAAAACTGGATTTTTAAATTTGTTTTACATATGTGTGTATGTATGTAATTTTTTTACGTTTAAGTTCCCATATTGAGTAGTTTTTAAATATTATATCAATTCTAAATTCTGTCAAGGAGTTATCGAAAAACATGTTGGGCCGCCGAAGCAAATGCATATCTACAACTCTTTTTTATTTTCCATTTCGAAGATCACATTTTCTTTCAGTTTTAGGGGGAGGGGTATTAACTCCACAACGTCTTTTCTTTTGAAAAACGCAAAGGAAATCAGAAACCCCACAAGTGTTTCATGGCTGGCATAGATGGCCTTTCTTTCTTTCACTCTTTCTGGAATGAAATATGAAGATATTTTCACCACAACATGCCTTTAAGACACACAGACAGACGGACAGAGGCAACTTGAGGGGCACACAGAACACACATATGCCGGCTTATCAGCCGCTAAAATGTTCTTGGACAATGCGTGTCTTATATTCAGCTATGAATTATGGTGTATATAGCTGCGTGGTTGTTATGTGGGACTCTAAAGTATAACAGGAAATCGCTGATAAGAAAAATGAGAGAAAAAAACTATCGCTTATCTCGGTCCTTAAACCGAGATTTACAGAAGAAAGAACAACATGTTTTAGGGTTATATATTTGTGTGTGTTTTTGTTGTTGCAAACTATTTTGGGATTACATTTAATCACTTTCAGTTTACGGAATACGGGAAAATAACGATTTATATTTTGTAATGTGAATTAAATAAAGAACAATATTTCGACTAGATATTTACAGAATTGTTGTACCTCCTTTTTAATTCTAGAGTCCATGGGCTTATAAGAGGAGGTTTCAAATGAAATTTATAAAGTGTTGTAGATTTATTTATTTTATGACATTTCTGAGGCTGGGCTTTTGTTTTGATTAAATAAAACATTTTTGTTGCCAGAAAAAATGAACTAAAAACTGTAAATAGTATTCCGTACAGAGAAGCGATTTATATATTCATGTATTTCTGTAATGTATTCTTTTATGAACAGCATTCGTTGTTCTGGATATTATTTATTCCGATTCATGACTTCATTATGTGCACCAGACAGTTTTACATCCAAACATACTCACATATGTGAAAAAAGAAAAACATATTGGCATGTGGTTAAATAGTCTCATGTTTTTATGTACAAAAATGTACATATGTGGACTTCGAGTTTGGGAGATGACGATGCCATGTTTTTACACAAAAATGGGTTATGGGCATTTGTGTGATTAAGAATCGGGTGAACAATACGAATAATAACTTGAAGGCTTCGAAGTCTCATCCTCTCCAAGTAATTCCATTCGAGGGGAGAGATATACAAAAATGACTATTTCAACTTATTGAAACATCAATATTGTCAACTGACACACGACTTCGATTGCATTCACTTCCGCATCGGCAAACAGAAAAAGCCCTAAAGGTGGGAGTACATAAAGCGCTTACTTGGCTGGCTTCTTCGGAAATGAAGAAAGGAGCCTAGGGCCAAAATCGAACTAAGCCAACCTAAAACTCCTTTGTTCCTCTACGAAGAAGCCAGCCGATGTCTTAAGCCAGCCAAATAAGCGCTTTATGTATTCACACCTTAAGAGAAAATGCCCAGCCAGGAGACTGCAAATAGTACCCTTAAACGATTCAATCTTACTCTGGCATCACCGATCTCTACTCTAAACATTATTCGACAAAATCTCATTCAACCACAATATTCTTAAAAACAAAATCAACAAACATATGGACTGCAAATTCGTTAAAAAATTTACTTGCCCGACGTTATTGAAATTGGATAAACAAACAAAATAAAATTTAAATTAAAAGTTTGCTGTTGGTGTCGGGAGTTTTTTTTTTTGTTAGGTTGCTTTGGTTCTGCATATGTTCTCGTACGTATGTCTGTCTGTATGTCGATCTCTTCGTCTTTGGTGTTTGTAGATAGATTTCAGTTCGGTGTTAATTTTGCGACAAATGATGTGAGTGAGTGATCTCATGTTGTTGATTTTTTTTGTATATTCGATATTATTAGGGTGGCCCATGCAGAAGAAGCTCTGTCACAAAAATAACCACTTTGAATAACTGAGAGAAAAACAGGCCAGAGAGTATCAGTCAGTTGGTCGACAGATATATAATCCAACGTATATCCTTTTATTTGGATATACACCTTTTCGGTATCACAAAAGTAGACCTACATCTTGAATCTATGTACCAAATTTTAAGAAAATCGGAGAAACATATCCTACTGTACAGAAGTATGATTATTCAAAAGTCTGATACATAATTTTTATGTAGCTTAATTTTACAAATGAATGCTCTGTCGCTCTCCATGAAATACATGATGTTTGTGACCCTTGTGGGGAGGCACCAGAAGGAGTAGGCCAATAGAACATATCTTCACGCGAGTTCTAATGTTTGTAAAAATATTGGGATGTGCGAAGTCTGAGGCAATTTGGACACGGATTTTACACTTTAAGAGAGTATTATTTTTAAAAACGTGGTAAACATTTTCCATTTTTTTACCTATTCCAAGTTTGATATCAATCTTTCATGTACCGATTTGGGTCTTTATCAGGTGATATACACATATGTTTTTGTTTTTTTTTTTTAAATTTTGATCTTTTCTGGGGGAGTGCATGGGGGGACCGATATATTCAATTTTCACATTTGTTCTCATACTGACAAATATACTGTGATAAGCAAAGTAAATCGGACAATTTCTTTAAAATTTAAATTTTTATCGATAAAATTTATTTTCTTTTGTGAATGAATAATAAAAATAATTGTCATTGTCTAAAAGTTTGCCAAATATTGTACATTTGGGCGCCATATTGGCTTTGGGGGTGACAAGTTGTAGAATATTTTATGTAGACTCCCCACACTTACTTATTTATATACACAAATCGGTGGGTATTTATATTTATTTGCAAAGCAAAGTAATGATGCAATTTTTGCAAACAGTTTAATTGTTTATGTCTCATCACTTGGCCGTTGCTAACTAGGCTAAATTAATTGTACTGCAGATTAAAAAAAATGTTTATAAACCTTGTGTAAATAATAAAACATTGTATTAACAGCAGAGATCAAAAGTATGCACACTAATGTTAAAAAGAAAAATCAGGTCAACAATTGAACGGTGCTTTGGAAATATATAATTCACGATTTAGTGTCCATTTATTCAAAGAAATAGTTTTTTCCCATAGAATTCTTGAAATATCATGACATATGTACATTGTGTTTTTATATATGACTAGCTGAACCCGATGCGCTTCGCTACCCTTTTGCTTTTGTATGCCTTCAAAATACATGAAATAGGCCGAAAGTATATATGGGAGCTATATCCAAATCTGAATCGATTTCAATATTATTTGACAAATTTATTTTACATTACCCATTTCAACTTTCATTAAAATTGGGGATATCGTGTTTGGTGCACCAAATACATGAAATCGGCCGAATATGTATAAGGGGGCTATATCCAAATTTGAACCGATAGCAATATAATTTTGCAAATAAATTTTATGAACAAATTCCAAATTTCATTGAAATATGAAATCGGCCGAAAATATATATTTCAATATAATTTAGCAAATTTAGTTTTGATTCAAACTCCTCTACACATACCAAATTTGGAGACGGCATCTGTAATCGATCAATACATGTATAAAAAATAAATTTTTGGGGGTACCTCCGATTCTGATCCTATATGTCCCGTTCCAAGTGGAATTTCATAAATTTATATAACCTATGTTACTTTCAGGCGACGTTGTAGTATAGTTAGAAATTTTCAGGAAAATCTGTTCAGCGGTTTTTAGGTCCATAAATTACAAACATACAAACATTTTCCTCCTTTTTATATAGATGTAGATTAACTTAAAACATGAAGTTTTAAAACACATTCTCTTTAAGATTCATAACAACAGTTTTGAGTTTTTCTTTACAAAATGTTCCCACTGCACTGTACCCAACATCTGGAAATTGAGCTTTGCCTTTGATGAGATCATGTTTTGCTTTTAGTTTGGAATTTAGAAACCAATTCAAATTAAATGCAATATTTTTGCAAACATAAGCACAAATGAGGCAGACACTAAACATAACACATTTACAACGGTTCTTGCCCACCACTGCGGCGGAAATGAACTGATATATATGTGTGTGTACGTGTGTATGTACATATGTTCAAGTATCATCATTTCAACAATTAAAATATTTGTACTATATGAAGATGTTGGCTTGTAAACGAAACGAAAACATCAGCGATGGACCGTAATGGAAGTTGGTTGACGATTGTGACTGTAAAAGTCAAACTGATCTAAAAACCTATCTTATATTTTGAAAACATAGATAATTCTGAAAAAAATGACGGCCATATTAATTAGGTACTAAACATTAGTATTTTGAAATAAGCATAAGGTCAGTGAGGTTTTTCGCAAAAATATATCACAATTTGTGTCTTTACTCAAAAGTTCAATAAATGATTATGAACAGACAGATTGGAGTTTTAAGTCTTTGGATACTGAGAATTTGCAACTGGAACACCACGTATCCATATTGATGTGTTGAAAAATAGTATTCGACTTTTTACCTATCATCACTGACAAGTGCACAACCAACCACACGCAACTGCCATTAAATTTTACAGTCCTGGCTCTTTTCCGTTTCACTCGACTGGCAAAATGTGCGAGAGAGATCAGCAGATCTTTTTGCAGCCACAATAAAATGATCTCGGTATCAACTGACGACACCATCTCATCTGAAGAATCGCAAGAATTTCAATGGAAAAAATGTGTCTGGTAATAAATGAAGTCTCTAAAGGCAAAATGATATTTCAGGAGGAAAACAATGAAGACAATGTAGTATAATACGGTACGGAATAGAATGGATCGAAAACGTACACATTATTTTATTTATTTATTTTTATAAATTAAATTACGATCTTCAATTCTGCCGGGCCAAAGTGTTTACATTCTTTGCTATGGAAATACTTTCTTTATTAATAAATCGGTTGGCTTTAGAAATCCTTGGATGGGGAAATCAAAATCCGAAATCAAAATCCCAAATTGTATTCTTTTGATTTATAAAATGTGGGTAGGACCAATGTACAATAAAAAGGTAAGGTAGAGCTACCAGCTGATTACATTTTTTTCTGGCTGTGCCGGATTTCTGCCAATTTTGTGTATGTATTAATTGTTTTGAAAAATAAAATCAAAATATTTTCAAAATCAATAATTGGAAGAAACGTAGATTGTGAGGCGCGCTTTGAATATATTAACCAGTTTAGCCATGAATCATTTTTTCAAATAAAAAGCAGGCACTTCATTCATCTTTCGCATTATTTAAATCATTTTAAGAATGAGGAAAAATGTGAAATAAGGTAAAAGAACAATTGGATTTTAGTTTGACATTGTTCGAGATTCTTAAACATCTTTTACGTATTTAGGCTTTGAAAGCTTTTAAATATTGTCGAAGATTTTGAAATGTTTAAAAAGTTATTTGTTAATTTAATAATTAAAAATGAAAACTGACCAAAAAATCGGAAAATTATGCTAAACACAATAGAAATCACCTTGTTTTAAAAACACCAATGTGGGCTTATTTATATTGAACGATTTTCATAGGGCGAATTTTCAAAAAAAAAAAAAGAAAAAAATGCCAAATTACAGTAAATTCGATTGGAAATGTTCGAAGTAACAAATAGCTGGTGGAGCATCAAAAAAAAAATTTTGTGACGTATAAAGGCCACATCTAAAGGTATCGATGCCAACTTTTAAGCTCTTCTATATTGCGAGTTCCATTGGGACGGACGTGACTGAAAGTCAATATAACCATTATTATAAATAATTGGTAATCATGCTGATGCCTTAAAAATCTACTATGATATTCCTAGCCGTTTTTATTGCCAGACTGTAATTAAAAAGTCATATTTAAAACTTAAATATTCTAATGATTTTTTTTCTGATTATTGGTTGAGGCAGCCGTTTCTTTATTTAATTTCATTCATCGTGATGTATGGCACACATACTCTTGCCCCAGCTTCCATTTGACATCACATAACAGCATGTGTAAATGAGTGAGTGTGTGTTTGTTTCCGCTTAATTCAGATAAGGGTTTCAAAGAAAGCCATGGTGGTAATCAGTTTCAAAATGATTTTTAAAAAGTTCATTATAAAATTTTAAAGTCTCAATACAGAGAGCATGCTTATGTTTATTGTTGCTTTTCTTAAAAGTTTTTTCCTTCCATTATTTGACGAAATTGATCGATATGTCGTACAACAAAAGTACACTTCTACGGAATTTTAAAAACGTCTAAAAGTATGCAATGCTTTTGAAAACTCTTTACAACATTTATTATTTTCACAAAAGACGGAGTTGAATGAAATTGGCTTTGTTTGTTTTACAGCGTCAGCCATAAGATGCTGGCGAATTGAAGTTGTCATTCCATCGTTGAAGACACCACACAGGATATATTCGCGATCTGTATACAAATCTATGACGAATTCATGCTACAAGATTCGTAATGTTTGTTATTTAAAATGATCTATATCTGTCTGCAACACGGTATGGCCTCATAAGAAATTACCTTCCCATTTTCATTATTTTAGAAGCTTCAGCCGGAATCTAAAGTAATTTCAAGGGTTAAGGCGCATTTTCAAACCTGATTATTTGTAATTTGGTATTTTCGATTTTGAGAAGATATAAACCCTTCCTCCACAAACTCTACTTTTCCACTTGGGTTCACATTTTGACGAAGGTCCAATAGGTCGTAACGACCGAGTTTATTGGTTTTAAAAACCCTGACTATATCTTCCAGACAACTTACTGTAATTAACATATTAATGTATATAAAATAACCTCGCAGACATTAAATGATGTACATCCAGGAATTCTGATTTTGAAGGCCACATTTTTCAACTTAGGCTTTCAGAATTTTTTTGACTGGTAGAAAACTAAAGGGTCTTCCAACAATAAAGCGATTTTTAAATGAATGATGCAGCAATTGAATTGTTTCTCTTTCATCACTCGAAGTTTGTTTCTCTTTCATCACTCTTGAATCACTCGAGGATTTTCCTCACGTCAAATACGATTCATCAAGATGGAAATTGACCCCGTCACCGAAAATGATTTTCAACGTTTTCACCTTGTCTCTCCATGTTTTGTTCATTCGTAACTAACCATAACATTATCTACTAACTTCGTGCCTTCTACTAATAAACAATAACAATTGTTCAAATGCCGAAACAATGACATTTCGAATGGCGGCAAATTTAAAAATTGCGTTTTAGTTGGGACACCATTTCTCTGGCAAAATATCTGCACAATGGCACTTGGGGGATTCCCAAATCATAGGCGATTTTCCAATGATTCAAGTACAAAATTCGACACTTTTTTTGTTTTTTCAATTGTTTCCCGCTGTCCAGGTTATTTTTTTTTTAAAAACTCTGTGAATACTGAGAAAAGAAGTAGAAAATGTCAAATATAGAGAGAGTATAAAACCAACTCTGTTGTGGAAATCGGTGATTATATTTTGCATTTAAACACCACAAACCTTAGTATTTGTTGGCATGTCTAACGAAACTTTCCTCGACATTGCAGGAATTTCATGTCGCCTATCTGTTCATTCGTATGGGTAATTCACCACGTCCTGGTCTATGGACTTTGGAGAAATCAAGTGATTACGGCAAGACATGGACGCCGTGGCAACATTTCTCCGATACACCTGCCGATTGTGAGACCTACTTTGGCAAAGACACTTACAAGCCCATCACTAAGGACGACGATGTTATCTGTACGACTGAATATTCGAAAATCGTGCCATTGGAAAATGGCGAGATTCCCGTTATGTTGTTGAACGATCGTCCCTCGTCGACAAACTATTTCAACTCGACGGTGCTGCAAGAATGGACACGTGCCACTAATGTGCGCATACGCTTGTTGCGTACCAAGAACTTGTTGGGCCATCTGATGTCGGTGGCGCGTCAGGATCCGACCGTGACACGTCGTTATTTCTATTCGATTAAGGATATCTCGATCGGCGGTCGTTGCATGTGCAATGGTCATGCCGACACCTGTGACGTGAAAGACCCCAAGAGTCCGGTGCGCATCCTGGCCTGTCGCTGTCAACACCATACGTGCGGCATTCAATGTAACGAATGCTGTCCAGGCTTCGAGCAGAAGAAGTGGAGGCAGAACACCAATGCCCGACCCTTCGAGTGTGAGCGTAAGTATCCGAGCGTTTGGACGTTTGTGCGCGGCTGTAGTTATTCCCCTCCTTCCCTCGTTTAGCTTGCAATTGCCACGGCCATGCCAATGAGTGCGTCTACGATGAGGACATCGATCGCAAGAGCTTGTCGCTGGATATCCATGGGCGCTATGAGGGCGGTGGTCGCTGCTTGAATTGCCAACACAACACCGAGGGCATCAACTGCAACAAGTGCAAGGCGAAGTACTACCGACCAGCTGGAAAATTCTGGAACGAAACTGATGTGTGCCATCGTGAGTATATTCGAACCACCTCTCGCTGTTCCAACTTGAATGTTTTTCGATTTTCGCAGCTTGTCAGTGCGACTTCTTCTATTCCACCGGCCATTGCGAAGAGGAAACTGGCCGGTGCGAGTGTCGCAAGGCGTTCCAGCCACCGGACTGCAAGTCCTGCGCCTATGGCTATTATGGCTATCCCAATTGCCGCGAGTGTGAGTGCAATCTGAATGGAACCGACGGCTATCACTGTGAGGCTGTCAACGGAGAGTGTCCGTGCAAGATTAATTTTGCTGGCCACTATTGCAAACAATGTGCCGACGGTTATTACGCCTTCCCCGAATGCAAAGGTATGTCGAGTTCAGAGTAGGGGTGGATGTGGGTGTGACGGTGTACTTCTTATTGTTTCAGCTTGTGAGTGCAACCAGGTTGGATCCATTAGCAATGACTGCGACCTGGTAACGGGCCAATGCAAGTGTTTGAGCAGCTTTGGAGGCGAGCGTTGCGAGCGGTGTAAGCACGGCTACTTCAACTATCCCAAGTGTCAATGTAAGTTCTGTGTGCTATGAGTCGACCAGGTCGAATAATAAGAATTTTCCAAACGCCCCTAGATTGTGACTGCGATGTTCAGGGCACCGAAGAAGAGGTGTGCAACAAAGAGAGTGGCACGTGTATTTGCCGAGAAGGTTTTGGTGGGCCACGTTGCGACCAGTGTCTGCCCGGCTACTACAATTATCCCGACTGCAAGCCCTGCAATTGCTCTGCCACCGGCAGTACAGCCATCACTTGTGACAACTCCGGCAAGTGCAATTGTCTGTCGAACTTTGCCGGCAAGCAGTGCACCCTGTGCAGTGCAGGCTACTTCAACTATCCGGAATGTCTACGTAAGTTAGAGGAGTGCGAGTTTGTGGGTTGTCGTCTCAATGTCGTTTCGATATTATCTTTCTCTTTGAACAGCTTGCAATTGCGATGTCCATGGATCTGTGGGCGTGACCTGCAATGCGGACGGGCAGTGCTTGTGCCACCCCAACTTTGATGGCAAACTGTGCGACACGTGCAAGGAAGGTTTCTACAACTTCCCCAGCTGTGAGGACTGCAATTGTGATCCCGCCGGTGTTATTGACAAGTTTGCCGGTTGCGGTTCGGTGCCGGTGGGCGAACTGTGCCAATGCAAGGAACGTGTTACGGGCCGTATCTGCAACGAATGCATGCCTCTGTTCTGGAACCTAAACATCTTGAATCCTGATGGCTGTGAGGTTTGCGACTGTTGGTCTGACGGCACCATTGGCACCCTTGATACGTGCGACTCAAAAACGGGTCAGTGTACCTGCAAACCCCATACTGATGGCCGCACCTGCAAGGAATGTAAGGACGGCACCTACGATTTGGACGGCTCGTCCCTGTTCGGTTGCAAGGACTGCAATTGTGACGTTGGTGGTTCGTGGATGAGCGAGTGTGACAAGACCACGGGCCAGTGCAAGTGCCATCCCCGTGTCACCGGCCGCGATTGTACGCAACCATTGACGACGCATTACTTCCCCACGTTGCACCAATTCCAGTACGAGTATGAGGATGGTTCTCAGCCTTCGGGCGCCAAGGTGCGCTACCAGTACGACGATGAAGTGTTCCCGGGCTACAGCAGCAAGGGCTACGCCGTCTTCAACGACATCCAGAATGAGGTGCGCTACGAATTGAATGTTTTCAAGTCTTCGGTGTATCGGATTGTCATTCGGTACGTCAACTTGAACGACTTCAATGTGACCGCCAACATTTTGGTACAATCGGAAAATCCCCTAGAGGTTGATCAGAAGTATGTATAGTAGTGGACTCTTAGGAGAGTAGTGACGATGCTGACATAACGAACTCTTAAATTGTTTTCTTTCGTAGTGTCAAGGTGTTGTTGCGCCCAACCACATCTCCGCAGTTTGTCACCGTTGCCGGTGAAAAGGGCAAGAAGCCATCGGCTGTAGTTCTGGATCCGGGCAAATACATTTTCACCACCAAATGCAACAAGAACGTGATGTTGGATTACTTTGTCCTCCTACCGGCTGCCTACTATGAGGCTTCAATCCTGACTCGTAAGATCCTAAATCCCTGCGAGCTTGGCAACATGGACTTGTGCCGACACTACAAATATGCTTCCGTAGAGGAGTAAGTTTCCACACTTTGTATGTAAGTGGGAAGGTGTCTAACGGTCTTTCTTTACAGTTTCAAACCGGCCGTCCAACCCTATGTCCTCAATCCCAAGGGCAAGCCTACAAATCCTTTGGATTTCTATAACGATCCCGACCACTTGACGATCATCAACCATGTCGGTGAAATTCCGATGCTTACCTCCGATCAGCTGGAACTGTACTATCTGGTGGAGGTGCCGCGTAGTGGCAAGTACATATTCGTCATCGACTATGTGAGCGAACGTAGCTATGCCGAACCCGGTTATATTAAGCTGCGTGTTGGCGATGACCTTGACAATTATGGTTCTACCTCGGTCTATCCCTGCCTCTACTCGATGGCTTGCCGCACCCCCATCATTGACGAGCAAATTCGCGAGAAGGTATTCTACATCGACAAAGAGGAGGATAAGCCCGTGGTCGTTTATGCCGACTTTGAGGAGAACGAGAAGATTGCCATAATTTCCGTAACGGCTATACCAGCCGAAGAGTGGTCCACCGACTACATTACCCCCAGCCCGGTGTGCGTGATGAATAAGAACCAATGTGCAGCACCCAAGTTCCGATCAGTTCCCGACTCGAAGAAAATTGAATTCGAAAGCGACCATGAGGACAGGATCTCCTGGAACAAGCCGCCGTATGCCGTGCTAGACGACAAGGTGAAACTGGTGCACCTGGACAATGCAGAGGAGTCGTCCATTGTCATCGAATCCAAGGTGTCGGAGCCGGGCCGTTATGTTATACTGGTCAAGTACTATCAGCCATATCATCCAAAGTTCAAGGTAATGTACACCCTGACAGCTGGAAAGAACCAGTATGATGGCAAATTCCACATCAACCACTGTCCGTCCAGTTCAGGCTGTCGCGGCGTAATACGTCCTAATGGCGATGAATGGTTCGACATTGAGGACGAGTTCAAGTTCACCATCACCAACAACCGGCCACAGGGAGTGTGGTTGGACTACCTGGTTGTAGTGCCTGTGGACCAGTACAATGACGACTTGTTGGAGGAGGAGACTTTTGACCAGACCAAGGAGTTCATTAAGGAGTGTGGTCAAGATCATTTCTACATTACCCACAACGCCTCGGACTTCTGCAAGAAGGCTGTCTTTTCGTTGACGGCGGACTACAACAGCGGAGCTTTGCCTTGTAACTGTAATTATGCCGGATCCACCAGCTTCGAGTGCCACCCCTTCGGTGGTCAGTGCGAATGCAAACCAAATATCATTGAGCGCCAATGTGGGGCCTGTAAGACCGGTTTCTACGGCTTCCCCGACTGCAAACCCTGTGACTGTCCCAGCACGGCCATGTGCGAGCCCCACACCGGCGAGTGTGTCTGCCCTCCCAATGTCATCGGCGAGCTGTGCGACAGATGTGCCCCTAACACCTACGGCTTCCATCAGATTATCGGCTGTGAACCCTGTGACTGCAACTATTTGGGCATTGTCGATGGAAAGACTCAATGCGACGCCTTCAACGGTAGCTGCGAATGCCGTGCCAACATTGAGGGACGCGCCTGTGATGAGTGCAAGAATGGATTCTTCGATTTCCCCCAGTGCGAGCAGTGCTCCTGCAACATTGCCGGCACAGAGCTAGAGGTCTGCGATAAGGTCGACGGTACTTGCTTCTGCAAGAAGAATGCCATTGGTCGGGACTGCGACCAGTGTGTGGAAGGCACGTACAATTTACGAGAGTCCAATCCAGATGGTTGCACGCCGTGTTTCTGTTTCGGCAAGACGTCTCGTTGCGAAAGTGCGTACCTGAAGGTGTACAATGTTAGCCTGTTGAAGAAGGTCTCCTTGAACACAGCCCAGTTTACGCCTAAGTCGATTGACTTTTCAATTTGGGAAATTCCCCCAGAGGATTTGCTGATCAATGAAACAATGTTACAGGCCGACTTTTCGCTGAACGAGATCGACGATGACTCAATCGTGTATTTTGGGGTTTTGGACTATCTGATGAACCAAAACAGCCACATTTCAGCCTACGGCGGTGAACTGGGTTACTCCTTGTACTACACCACCGGACTTTCCGGCAAACCAATGACGGCTCCCGATGTCATACTGTTCAGCAAGGACAGTGTCTTGGTGCACCAGAGCTACGAGCAGCCCTCTAGCAATCAGATGTTCAAAAATCGCGTAGAAATGGTGGAGAGCAATTTTATGACCCAAGATGGCAAAACTGTTAGCCGTGCCGACTTCATGATGGCCTTACGGAATCTCGACATGATCTATATTCGTGCCAACTATTGGGAACAAACGCTATTGGCACAGCTGTCGGATGTCTACCTGACCCTCGCCGACGAGGATGAGGATGGCAACATGGACGACTACTCATTTTTGGCTGTTGAAAAGTGCCAATGTCCTCCAGGTTACTCTGGCCTGTCCTGCGAAGACTGTGCTCCCGGCTATTATAGGGACAATTCCGGACCTTACGGTGGATACTGTGTTCCCTGCGAATGCAATGGTCATGCCGAAACATGCGACTGTGCGACCGGCATTTGCCAGAACTGCCAGCACTCGACGACCGGTGACCACTGCGAAATGTGTATTGAGGGTTATCATGGGGATGCCACCTATGGCTCGCCTCATGACTGCATGATATGTGCCTGTCCCCTGCCCATTCCCAGCAATAATTTCGCAACAGGCTGTGAAATCTCGGAGTCTGGGGACAAGATCCACTGCGAGTGCAAGCCCGGCTATACCGGACCCAAGTGCGAGTCCTGCTCCAACGGGTATTATGGAAATCCCCAGATTCCCGGAGATTACTGTAAACCTTGTGACTGTTCGGGTAACATTAATCTCTCCGAGCCAGGGTCCTGCGACACAATCACTGGTGAATGCCTGCGGTGTTTGAACAACACATTCGGTGCTGCCTGTAACTTGTGCGCTCCAGGTTTCTACGGCGATGCCATTAAGTTGAAGAATTGCCAGACTTGCGATTGCGAGGAGCTGGGTACTTTGGAGTGCGATCCGTTCGAGGGTAGCTGCAAGTGCCACGAGAACGTGATTGGCGAACGCTGCGACAGGTGCGAACCTGATCATTACGGTTATGACTCTGGGCTAGGATGTCGTTCGTGTGACTGTGGCATTGCCTCGAACTCGACGCAGTGCGACGAGCACACGGGCAAGTGCGCCTGTAAAACGGGTGTTACTGGCCGTCAATGCGACCGCTGTGCCACCGACCACTGGAACTACTCCAAAGACGGTTGCACCCCTTGTAACTGCAACCAAGGATATTCTCGAGGATTTGGCTGTAATCCCTTCACCGGCCAGTGCGAATGTTTGCCAGGTGTCATTGGCGATCGTTGCGATAACTGCCCGCACAGGTGGGTTCTGAAGAAGGACGAGGGCTGCTTCGAATGTGACAACTGCCACCATGCCCTGCTGGATGTCACGGATCGTCTGCGCTATCAAATCGATCCCTTGGTTAATGAGTTCCAATCGGTTGCTCTTGCCTTCTTCACAAGTCAGAAGCTGAGTTATTTCGAAAATCTGACCGATGCTATAGCCCCTGAGGTGCAGAATCTGGATCCAAAGAGTGTCAACTTGGAGCCGTCGCGCATTATGGTTTCCGAGGTGGAAAACGAGGCCAAGCAGTACGCCAAGCAAGTGAACTTGACCTTGGAGAACGCCGAAGAGAGCCGCAAGCAAGCTAGCGGTCTCCTGCAAAACGTTACCAGCATCAGTGATTTGGTAACGACGAGCGTAAACGAAGCTGTCGACGCCATCAATGCCGTGGATGCATTGTCGCGCAACCTGGAAACGGCGGCCAGTACCAAAATCGACTCGGCCCTCCGAGATGCCCAAGGTTTGTTGCAGGCCATCAATGAGACCTCCATCGATTTGAAGCGCAATGGTTTGGTGTTGGATAGAGCCACCGAATTGCTGAATGAAACCACACTGGTCATCTCGCCAATAAATAAGCAAAGCAAGCTGCTGAATTCGCTGAAGGATGACATTGGCGAATTCAGTGACAAACTGGAGGATCTGTACAACTGGAGTCAAGAGGCATCACGCCAGGCTGACGAAGTGGAAAAGCTAAATAATCATAACAAACAGCAATTCGAGAACTCGAAGTTCGATGCGGTCAGTGATCAGCAGAAGGAGGCCGAGAAACACATCAAAGAAGCCGCTGACCTCCGCATGAATGGTCTGTTCGGCTTAACGAACATCGAGGAGAAAATCGGAGACTTGGCCGATGTACTAAACAATCTGCAAGACCTTAATAAGCAAATCGATGTCGCTTTGCCAACATTGGAAGATCAGCATCTCGAAGCTTTGAACTTGACTGAAAAAGCTGAGTTCCGGGCATTGGAATTGTCGAATAGGGCCCAAGATCTCTCTGAGCAATACGCCGCGCTGACCGCATCGTCTGAGCCCGCCATTAAGGCTGCTACAGCCTATAGTGGAATAGTTGATGCCGTAACGTCGGCCCAGCAATTTACTAAAGAGGCCAAATACGCTGCTGGCAATGCCACCAAAATTACAGAGGGTATAGAAGGTAGCGCCGGTCTGGCAGACAAAGATTCGGCAGAGCTTCTCCAGGCGGCCAGGGATTCCTTGCACAAGGTGCAGAGTGAACTGGAACCACGTCTCAACGCCTCCGCCTCCCAGGTGGAAGCCATATCCAAACTGAATGAGAAAACCGAGAAGAGGTTGGCCGATATCAATACCCTAATGAAAGCCTTGCCCGCCGACTCACAACGCGATTTGTGGAAGAACTCGAACCAAAATGCCACCGATGCTCTGGAAATCATGACCGAGGTATTGACTATTTTGGAGCCCGTCGTAAAGCAAACACCAAAGGAGTTGGAGAAGGCCCGCAACATTTCCAGGGACATTGACTCGACCAACAAGGACATCACCCACGTTCAAAATCAATTGGACGCTGTGGAGGAATCGATCTCTTCGCTGCTGGACTTGGCTGAAGGCGTTGAGCAACAGCAGGCTGAAGTTGAGCGAGCTTCCCAGAACGTGGGCGAAGAGATCGAGAATTTGAAACGTCAAATTGAAACAGCCCGTCAAATTGCCAATGACATTAAGGTAGGCGTCAAGTTCGGCACCAGCACTGTTTTGGAATTGAAGGCACCCGAAACTCTGCCCCTTCTGGCCACCCAAACCAAAGTCTCCACCTATTTCAAGACCAACAACACCAATGGCTTCCTACTGTTCCTGGGTAACGACAACAAGACCGCCACGGCCCAACCATCAGCCTCTAAGAATAACGACTTCATGGCCTTGGAAATCGTCAATGGCTATCCCATACTCACAATTGACTTGGGTAATGGCCCTGAACGCGTTACCAGTTCGAAATACGTGGCTGACGACGAATGGTATCAAGCGGTGGTAGATCGGACGGGACCCAATGTCAAGTTGACCATACGTGAGGAGCTGGACAACAAGGAGGTTCAGGAACACGAAACGCAAGAGGTACTCCTGGGAGCCAACAATGTATTCAACGTTGACCGCAACAGTCGTTTGTTTGTTGGCGGATTGCCACCTCCAGCCGATTTTACACCTCCCGAAGACATCCGCACAAGCTCCTTTGTGGGTGATATGGAAGACTTACGCATCGGCGACGAGCACGTGGGTCTGTGGAACTTCGTGAACGGCGAATCGAACAATCAAGGAGCATTCCCACGCAACAAACTGGTCACGGAAGAAGTGCCGCCGACCGGCTACCGTTTCAATGGCAACGGCTATGTCGCTCTAAAGGCAACGCCGTTCAGCTTCAAACAAAGGTCCAGCATCACATTCAATTTCAAGGCCTCCAAGGACACCAAGGACGGCCTGTTGTTCTTCTATGGCCGCAACAATCAGTTTATGTCCGTGGAAATGTCCAACGGTGCCATATTCTTCCGCTATAAGTTGGGCGACCATGTCGTGTCCACCGGTAGCAGTGACAAGTACAACGACAACCAGTTCCATCATGTCGTTGCCGAAAGGGACGGTCGTCGCGGTCTACTCAAGGTCGATGACCAACTGATGATCCAAGAGGAGATTCCAGCTCACGTCGATGATACGATGCCCGCCCTGAAACGCATGTTCTTCGGTGGTTTCCCAGGCAAACGAAACAACAGTCTGATCGTTGAGCAAAACTTTGACGGCTGCATCGACGACGTTACGATATCCGGTGTAAAGGTGGATCTAGGTCAGCACATCAATGCAGTGGGCGTCAAGCCTGGATGTCCCAACAAATTCTCCACGGTGTTGGCTTACCCGCCGCATGAACACGGCTACCTGAAGGCCAACAACATAAGCTCCGACAACAATTTGAATATAAATCTGAAGTTCAAAACCCGACAAAAGGATGGCGTCCTGTTGTACGGCACCAATCACGATCAAAGCTCCACTATAAGTCTGGCCGTGAATGACGGATTCTTGGTCCTGAGAAGCATGGGCAGTGAATTGGTTTCGGATATGCACCGCCTTAACGACGGAGAGGAGCACGTTGTGACGATACTACACGATGACACCCAATTACGGCTGTCCATAGACGACGTGGAGGACAAACGGTAAGTGGTGCAAGGATCGAAGCGGAGCGGTAATTGAAATATGACTTTTGCTTTCCTTTCAGCTTGACTTATCCACCGCAACCCCTCTATATATCCGCGGGATCGGTCTTCTTTGGTGGTCTGCCTGAAGACTTTGTGCCCGTACGAAATGGTTTGGCCAACCAAGCCTACTTTGTAGGATGCATTAGCGACGTCACTGTCAATGGCCAGATCATCAACTTTGCCGACAGCGTGGAGAAGAAGAATGGCAATATAAACGGTTGTCCCAGCGATATATTGGGTAAGTAAGATCCGATTGGTCGGTGGAGATCTGTTATTGAATTGGCCGTTTGCTTATTTTTAGCCTATGACGTTAGCGCTGTTCCGATCTACTATCCGGGCGCTGCCAATGAGTTGAATAAGCCGCCAGTAACGATAATAGGACATGAAGTCCCGCATTCGCCCACTGTCCTGACGACCCACGCACCACCGACAATGGCACCAGAGACTACCACCACTGCCAGGGCCATTGCCACCACACCCACAACTACAACAACCACCACCACGACGACGACGACAACAACCACCTCCACCACTACCACAACGACCACTGAACGGCCATTCATTAAGCCCGACTTATTCGACGAGTCTGACAATGAGTTCGACACAGTTCTGGTCCGTAAACCGGAAATTGCGCGCCCTCGCAATCAACCGGAAGATCCTCGATGCAAACTGCCAACCAATCCTAATTACGACGTTGACTTCTCGGAAGCCGGTTATCGCTTCTTCTCGTTACGGGAGCAGCGCTTGGAAATTCCCAGTTTGAGCATGAAGCTGCGCAAGCACTACGACATTACGCTGACTTTCCGCACAAAGGAGAACAATGGCATCCTCTTCTATGCCGCGGACAAACACCAGAGTGATTTTGTGGCCCTCTATCTGCACGAGGGACGAGTTTTCCACGCGGTACAGCTGGGAACCGAAAAGATCATTGTCAACAGCACTGCCGAATTCAATGACGACACATGGCACACCGTGCAAATCATTCGCACCCAGCGCCGAGTCAGTTTGTTCGTTGACGAAGAGGAACAGCTGCCGTCGTTCGAATTGGAGGAACGCAACATCCATGTCATCAATATCGTCTTCCCGCTGTATGTCGGTGGCGTGCCGAAACATATCGAAGAGATGGCCCACAACAATGTCGAATTCAAGGATGTATCCAAGTTCTTCAACGGTTGCCTCAGGGATCTGAAATTCAATGGCATGCCGCTGGAACAAGAGCCCCAGACATTCTTGGTGGTTCCCTGCTCCGATGAGGTGGAAGAGGGCCTGTTCTTCAACAAGCCAACTGGTTTCGTCAAACTCTTCGAACGCTTCTCGGTGGGTACTGACTTCAGTTTGAGTTTCGAATTCCGCCCACGTGAGCCGGACGGTCTGTTGTTCTCGGTGCACGGCAAGAGTTCTTATTTGATTTTGGAACTGGTGGACAATACCCTGTGGTTCACAGTCAAGTCGGATCAGAAGAACATTGTCACGACCAACTATACCCTGCCGGATAATGGCAGTTTCTGCGATGGAAAGTGGCGCAATGTGCAGGCGGTTAAATCGAAGTTCGTCATCACCATATCGGTGGATTGGATATCGGCTAAGCCGGGTGTTGGTCAAGAGGGCTCCACTGTAACCAAGACCAATCGACCCCTGTTCATGGGTGGCCATCAAGCCTTCAACAAGGCGCCAGGTTTGAAGACGCGCAAGACATTCAAGGGCTGCATGCGCAAGGTGCAGGTGAATAAGCGTCCTGTGCGAATAACCTCAAATCTCATCTATGGCGAGATTTGGAAGGATGTGTGTCCTTCGAATTAAACGAACGAAAAATGTAAACGAGAATTAACACGACAAATAAGAAAAACAAACCGATGACGACCACTGCTTAACGACGAAGGCCGAACGATTTATGACAACGAGACAGAATTGATGCCGAGGATAAATGCCGACAGTCCCTCTGTTGGATACCTCGTACTACTTTACTATAATTTTTTAGTTTATTGTTTTCTTTAATGACAGTTTGAGCCGTAGCACAGCTAGAGGAGCATTGCAGGTGCAGTCGCAGTGCCAGTAGGCTGGTTCGGTGTCGGTTGCGAATGGTCGATATTAATATTCTGAAGTGAGCGAGGTACCTCCAAATTGCCGAGGTTTTAAAAAATACGTTTCATTAATTGGTTCCTGGGCAATGTTTGCTTAAATGGTACACTCCTATCCGTGCAATAGCACACCGATCTTTAGTCATTGCGAGTGCAATTCAATGTGAAACTTATTTTGGATTTCGCGTGCTTTGTTTGCTGCGACTTTACTTAGTTGAGCTACGGTCGCAGACATGTCTTCTATACTTATCTTTTTCTATTTTTGTTTTTTTTTTCATTTACTTTTACTGTTGTTCTACGAATTTTCATACGAAGATGTTTATAGCGAAGGGTTTTAAGAGACAATATGCTCGCTTAAAATCGCTCGCTTGTGTCTTCCGCAGCATAGAACAGCCGGAATAAGGGCATTGTCAATTTCAACTCTTTAACCGCAACCGTTAATCCGTTTTATTTTATTGAGATTTTCAAAATGTGTGGAATAAATCCAAACCGAAAAATACAATCATGTTTATAAATGCCATAGCAGTTGTTTGATGCATTGAAAGATGATTACGTTTGTTTTCTGCCAGCCCAGTTGCTGTTAAGCGAAATTCTGTGTTGCGGGTAAATGCAATTCATAGATCTAGGTCACATTGTTCAAATATCTTTCACACATCATTGGGTGTGTACAGATATTCGAGCCTTGTGGAGAACGCTTTATAATTTGTACTTGTATCTTTATTTTCCCAAATATGTGCCAAAATATATGTATGTGTACCGTAAGATTACTTTTTGCTTCAATAAAACATAATTCATAATAAACGTTGTTTTCTTTTTAATTTATTTGCTACTGGCAAGTATCCCCTACTTCGTCAGCGAAAAGTCCACCTTAAAATGTTAGATTCGCCCCAAGAGTTAGTGTTAGGCCTTTTTAGTACTCAAAATGTACATTTTGTTCAGTTTGACAGCATTTTTTAAACGAATGAATACGACACATCTCTTTCTCTTCTTTGTTTAGATAATAGTTATTATTATTTTAATGAGAATTTTAATAAGCAAGCTGACAAAGAAACAAACGGATGAAAGCATGAATAGTTCGCCAGCCTTGAATCTGAGATAAAAGTAGGTGTCTATATCTCTTTCATAGGAATCCATTGTTGTGGGACCATAATAGCAAGAGATTATGCACACGGAGGCAAAGGTTTGTGACACCCAGATGCAGGAGCGTTGCAAAGAGCAGGAGTCATTGTATTTTACCGGTCCCCAAAGAGGTTGAAAGTGGAACCAATTAATGTAGAAATTACTTAAGTGCTCATGGAAACGCTCACTCCAAGTGCCACCTGAGAGCGATGGCATTACTTCCAATGGTTGCTGAGTAATCCAATTGTTTACCAGAAAGATTTGCTTTTCCTTCGTGGCATGATTGTGGGCAATTATGCGATGGCAATACCAGGAAGGGAAACGACCAGATTGATCACCGGAAATGGCAATTTTAAAAGGAAATTTCACATGTTGACCATCCAGCAGCAGTTGGCGAATGGAATTTCTCAAAAGCTGTGGTTTCCATGGATTTTGGAAAATTCTCAATGTGTAGGGACCTCTCTCCGATACAAATCTGAATTTAATATTTGATGTGCTCGATGAATTCCAATGTGATCCGGTATATATGAGAATTTCAAGATTAGGATGTTTCATGGGTTTGGCATCCGAAATGAGTATGGGTCTGGTGTTCCGTATGCGTCGAAAATTGATGAGTAGCACTGTCAGAAACACAAGCAGTGAGAGAATGTAAAATATCAGGATGTGCCAATTGATGGGCAAGTGATCCAGCAACCAGTGTTCTCTTAGGTCCTCCTTGACCGTCGGTTGGTATGTCCTGGCAGCGAAGTCAGAAAAGTGGTGGCATTCACATTCCAACTCCGGCCAATTGACAGTTAAATTATATTTAGGCCTACAGCCATCGGAGGACCACTGAGGATTTTCTATATTCCACTCCCAGTAGAGGCACTGATAAATGTCCACTGAAAACTTAAAGAACAGGGGAAATTTGCTCACCCCTTCTTGTGCTAGGAATGCTATGTAGGCTTCGGTGATGTGGGAGTTGTTGTTAAAAGCAAAATGGACTTTTTGGGAAGACAGTTGACTGGCGTCGAGTTTGGAAATCGTTTGTTGCATTTGAAACCCAGTGGGTTTTTCTCCCAAGCCAATTCCTATTGAGATACTCGAATTGAGGTTATGCATTTTCGAAACCAGTAATGAATGGCTCGGAACTTCCACGGTGAACATGGACATATGTTGCCGGGCCTTGATTTTACCCTGAATTTCTTGATTCGCTAATGATATTTTTAAATGGAATTTTATCGACAGGGGACTGTTGAGCCGCGAGGAGGGAGGTAGCCGCGGAAATGTGGAAAAATATAAAACATCCGAGGAAATGGGTAGCTCATGCGGATACCACCAGAATCTGTTCATTCCCATTGAGCCCACTTGAATGACAAGGTCATGGCTTTTGACTAGACTTTGTAAGTCCAAAATTGCCTCAGGGGATAGGTGCACCTCCATTGAGGGTTCCCCAAGGGCAATCGTTTGCCTGGAGGCATCATCAATCGCATATAAAAGCATTTCACAGGGATGATCATTGATTACGAAAGCGGGTTCCTTGGGTTGGTAGATATGTGTCGCCTGGGAACTGAACATTTGGAAAATTCTTTCCACTTCTTTTGAAAGTTCCAACCAATTTGCAATCTTTTCCACGATAAGAATATCGAAGTCGGATAACTCAGAGTAGTGTTCTGCCAAAGGGTCTGTCGCCATTATCGTTTCAGGCATGAGTGTCTGAATATCCATTGGGGGCTCCCAAGGTTTGGCAAACTCCCGCATAAGATCTACAATTTGATGCATGGCCAGCTGGTATCGTTCGATGTTAAGGTATTTGATTTCATGATCCTCGATTATGAGTTGAAGACCCTGCCTGAGTTTATGCATGTACTTTGTAACGGCCAAGGATTTACGATAATCGAGTGGGCGAAGGTTCATTACCAGATCATGGCTGATTGCTAGCCATTGCTCGATTGCTAGGAGTGTTAAGAGGGAGATGTTATGTACTTGATCCACTACGAAGTTGGCTTCGTCTTCGGTTGTCACAAATCTCACAACCGATTTGAGCAAAACAAAAGCTGCCAGTCGTTGGGAATTTTCAAAGAACTCTTTAGGATCGGTTCCATTTGTCAATAGAAACTCGTGAAAATTGCTGGGTCTGGGGAGGGCTGATATGTCCACATCTAATACTGTTTCAGTGCACGCATTCCATTGATCGCATATCAGAACTGTCAAGGTAGTACTTTCTGGTAATTTCACAATAATTTGGGCCTCATTAATGCGCTTAAGAGGAAAGTGTCCTGAAAAATAATGAAACTCCAATGGCAAGTCCTGATCTTCATAACTCTCACATTGTATGCGAAACTCGGTTTCCAATGCCGTTCCGGCAGAGGGTACTACGGAGCAATGACCTCCACTAGGTGGGGTATTTAGCTGAAATTCAATTGAGAAATGTCCTTTGAATGCTTCGGCATCAACTTCTAGGTCAATTAGCAGTCGAGTTTCTTCATTTTTGGGTTTATATATGAGGTGGCGATGATTTTCTCGTTGCTCGACACCATTTACGGTCCAAAAGAAGTTGATCTTCGGAGGGCATTGCGAGCATATTCCCTCAACATGGACCGTGGATCCGGCAACGTACTGATCACGTAAACAATTTCTCCGACATTTCATATCGACGTTTAGTTGATGGTCGGTCACAATGTGGACTTCTTGTTGAGCTTTGTCAGAGCTTAAAATATTTACTTTGGATTTTACCGTTAGAGTAAATATGTAGATGTTGTTGGCATTAAGACTGCCCGCTTGTATGTACACTTTGTTTTCTGGAAGAGATTTAGGGTGGCATTGATTAGCATTTCATTGAAAAAATCGCATGCATGCAACCTACGTCACACTGTGTTACAGCGTATTATACATATGTCTAATGTCTTTGTAGAGTCCATCTATGCTTGTCCGTCTCTTCTTCTATTTAGCCGTCTTTCAAGCCCTATAGGATCCCATCTATTTTCATGTAAGTGGTAACCAAGTAATGATAAAGTTGTTGTAAAGTTATAACTGTGCAGACTAGGAAACTAAGCTATAATAATTTTCCCAATATCATTTCGATGCAGTTCCATACCTGTTCCCATATTCTTGTGACAGAATTCATCACCTGATTCTTGTAAGGACACACAGGTCCAGTTGAATAATAAATCCTGCAATGCATCTGGGGCCAATGCAAAGTCACGACTTTTCGAACCATCCAACAGGACATTTTGAGCGATGCCAATTTGTCGGCGAAGACCTCCGGCTATAACGGCCTTCACCGGTTTCGGTAATACCAGAATGAAACACTGGAAATCAAGAAACTTGTAAATACCTTTGATTACAACAATTACACATATCTACCCTAGCCTCTGTGACAAATTCCAACCCCCTCTCTCTGTCTCTCCCCGACATCCTGAGTACCAATGAGTAGGAAGACATTACTTCACTGTGATAACTAAACCAGAGGCGATACGGAGCGACTTTCAAGACGGGCAAATTGGTGGTTCCAAAATCATGCAATCGTTTATTGCCGATTGTATTGAAAACCCGCCATTCGTAGACGACATTCGAATACGAGTGACAGTGCTGTTGCAGCACTGCTTCGAACGTATTAAAACGTGCAATATTCAACATCAGTGGTTCCAGGGGATCAAATCCATGCTCGAACTTCAGTTGTGGCACACATTCCAACTCCCTTCGAGGCAAAATTAATATGTCGAATTCCTGATAATGAAAGAATTCGGTGGCCGTTTCGGTATCGTACGAACGCAAGGACAGGGTCAAAATGCCCAAGTGCCAAAAAACTTCATGGGCCCGGTGGTAGTAGCCCTTGTTAAATGGCAGATCGTTGTGATAACGTATACCATTCTGTCTAATCAACGATTCCAAATCGGGCGAATATGTCCATTGCTGGCCAATATTTTCTGAATTCGTTTCAAAACTATCGATAACATAATTGTGGCCCATCAACTCCACGGAAAAGTTTACAAATCCACGCTGCTCCACAAGCAGCAGAAATGTGTGTTCTTCGGAATAGTAGCCGTAGTGATTGAAATATAAGAGCATGTTTTGAAAAACATTTTCATTCTCAATGTCACACCAGAGACCGCCATAACCTTCTTCGCAGTTTCGGCACATGAATTGGCCGACCAAATTTAGACATTCGCTATTATTTTCACATGGCTCTTCGAGGCAATTATCCACAAGTTCCGTACAGCGCGGACCTCGAAAGTATTTGTGGCCCACACATTGGCATGTCGGTTGGCCATTTTCTTCAAAACACTGTCCTTCGTGATTGCAGAGCGATGGCTCGCACTGCTTGCGGAATTCTGCAAGCGATGTGAAGACAACGAGAAGGAAATAAATTCGAGTTTGAAAATTATTTGGCATTTTCCGAAAAAAATCGAATGGTCGAATTGACTGCTTTGAAATTAGGTTTGTCTGGGTACTTTTCCAGTGATATTTACTCAGTAAACTCTCTCGATAGAGAAATGCTCTGTTCCAGAGCCTGCGAGAATCTACTACTTTTGGATTTTTTTTCGATATCATAAGGGACAAATCGGTCATCATAGTAAAAGTTTTAACATTTTTGCAGCTCTGAAACAGGCTACTATCATTAAAATCATGGTACGCCCTTTCGACAAAGTGATGCTATGGGGTTTAAAAATGGATTCTCGTAATATTCGCAGATCTTTAAATAAATTTTGACTCATTTGTAAATAAGTTTTGGCCTGTTCCAGAACTGCAAGAATCTAAAAGTTTTTCCTACGATAACCGATTTTCCCTTTATGATATCGAAGAAAATTGCAAAACTAGTAGATTCTTGCAGGTTCTGGAACAGACCATCTGATATTGATAATGGCTTTTTAGCGAAATATTAATAATTATAGCATTTCGCCGTTATTAATTTATAAAAATAAAAAAAATGAAAACATTCTTCGGAATCTTAAACCTGAGCCATCACATTTTAATGTGGCGCGTGCTCCTTTTATATATATATGAGTGTGTGTGTACCTGTTTTGTATCTGCCTTTTTCCTCAATGTGATTCGTTCTGTTTTAATGTTGCTCTTCCACAACAACAACAACAAAATAATACGCGGATTGATAGGAATTTATGTTAAGACAACGAAAACCGGCAGAGGCATCTCGGCCATGCCAAGAATCATTCATTAATTTACGACCATTTAAATGCCGTCAGGAATTCATGTTTAAGCAAAGCTGAATGTTTTCTGTTTGTATGCGTGTGTGTGTCCAATTTGTTTATCTTCCACTGGGGCCCTTGGCCGCCCGAGGATCTACCTGTCTGGCCACCTTTTAAGCCTCCCAGTTGGATTGGCTGCAAAGCTAATGACAAACATAAATGTGTGTAGTTAATTTACACCTGAATAACATCGTGTTCCGTCTGTCCGTTCGTCTGAAACAACTTGATTTTTTCAGGCAGGACGGACATAATTTCCTTTGGAGATATGTGTGTGTCTGTGTGTGCGTTTTAATGCCCATGACATTGACTTTGTGTGGCTTTTGTTTCATTCGAGGCGTCGCATTAAATTATGTGCAAAATTAATGAACCCCAGCCACTTTTCTTACTTAAAGATCGGCTCACGGGATCAAAGATTTCAGAATGGGAAAGCAAAAAAAATAAAAAAACCAAATACGCCATAAAACTCTGTCATAAATTAGCATTGATATTTTTGGTCGGCTGGCTGCCTGGCTGGCTTATAGCTTTAATTCATTTAAATCAAACTGTGAGTTTTGTGAATTTTTGTTAGTCGTCGGCATTCGTCGTGGCAGCGTTCGTTTTGTTTTTCGAGAGGTTTCAAAGAAATACATTTGTATTTGAATATAAAATCAAGTTCAGATTTCTGACATTGCAATTTTTTTGGAATGTGTCATATGAAACCTGGTGATATGCATGATTATGTGTATGACTGGACGTGGAACCATACCAGAAGGTTAATATTAAAAGTAAAACATTTTTAAAGTATTATTTCTTCGGTCATCTGAGATCTGCGAGATCACTTAAATTTGGAGACATACGAAAGAATGTGTTAGTCGTAAATCTATAAAATATATAGTAAATTCCTTAACTCGGACCATGGTAGAATCATGCAATCATACAGTTTGAGATGAAAAAAAAAAACTGCAACCAACTTCAGACTGCTGTCATTTCTAAGCTGTTAAAATTATTCCAGTGACAGCTCATTATATTGTTTACAAGCGTACCAAAGCATTTTGGTGAGAATTTTCCGGAAAAAGAAGTTATTCGTGATGGATTTCAAGCGTGATAGTGTGATTTGTTTATATTTGACTGGATAACCACAAGTGGTTATCGTTAGAGCACTCCAGCATTTAAATGTGAATAAATCTTTTGTGTCTCGTACCATCGCTCGTTACCGTGATATTGGTAGCGTAGCCCGACGTCAAGGAAGTGGACGGAAGAAAACAGTAACATCAGCAGAAATGGTTCGAAACGTAAAGAAGAGACTTGATCGAAAGCCGTCGTCGCAGTGGCCGAAAAATGGCTTGTGAATTGAACATATCGCAATATTCCATTCGGCAAATACTGAAAAATGAGCTCGGGGTAAAGCCATTGAAATTCCAAAAATTGCAAGAACTTACACCGCAACAGAAAGAAACAGAAAATAGAACCAAAAGAGCTAAAGAGATGCTTCGCTTAGGCGAAAAAGTTGAACTGCCCAATTTGGTTTTATCCGATGAGAAAACATTCGTTGTTCAGCAGTTTGTCTACCAGAACTCAAGCGCCGGCCATGGTGTGGGCCGCCATAACAGCCGATGGCCGCTCTCCGCTCGTATTAATTGATCATTGCATCAAAATAAATGCCGAGTATTATCGCAGTTTGGTCGCAGACCTTGGACATTCAAACAGCACTCAGCACGCGCCACCCAAGATTGTTTACAAAATGAGGCTCTTCGCTTCATTTCCAGCGCACAATGGCCACCTGGGTACCAAGCCGTTGGACTATTGTGTCTGGAGTATTTTGGAAAGCAAGGTTGGGACTAAAAAATACCAAAGTGTCGATCACTTCATGCAAGCGCTTCGCCGAGAATGGGCCAATATACGGCATTCGGCCATAATTCGTGCCCAAGGTGACCAATGTGAACAAATCTAAACTTATTTTAGAATTTGATGCTATTTCCGACATTTTTTGCTTTCATTCAATAAAATTAAAGAAATAATAATAAAATTGTGGCGTTTGACTTTGTTGCAGTTTTTTTATCTCACCCTGTAAATCGGAAATACTTGTATACTCAATAACAATTGCACATAGTTTTCCGGGATTCAATTCCGTTGTCTTTGTTTGCTTTTTTAATGACTGCTATCGTGGGCAAAGACAATTGTGTTTTTATTATTTTCAATACAAAAAGCAACAAAAAAAAGAATTTGTCAGCGTTTGAGACACAGCTTGAAGATCCTTCTTACGCTCCATCCATTTAGATTATCATTTTATGTGTTTAACATCTTTGGGGGTTTTGGCGACTGCAGGTATGTCGAGACAACTGGACATTAGTCATGAGCACCCTCTGTCGTCTGTTATGAAGGGGTAATGGAGAGTGAGGGCGGGGGGTGGTTACACTGAAACATAAGTTTCTCAGTGTGAAGTCCGTTGGTGAAACAAAAAACCGAAAGTGTTTCGCAATTAATTCAGCGATTTGTCAAACACATTTTTTAAAGTCATTTGTTACTCACATTCGCAGGTAATGTTGTGTTGCTGAATTTTGCTTCAGGTTTTGTGTGTTTGTCCTCTTGGTGAGTAAATCGGATTAGTGGAGGTTTAACTTTAAGGATTTTTTTTTTAATTTTCATCAGTGAGAAATTATCTTGATGTATTTTATAATAATAGAAAAAATAGTTATACGCTAAAAGTATAAATTTTTCTTGAATTTTGTTAAAATTCTGAAATTTAATGCATTTCAATTAGCTCATCATGAAATCTGCATACATAGCTACTTGCAGCATGTGTAGTAAGTGAGAGTCTTTATTTAGGGAATTTTGTCCTTCTAACCTGATTATTTCTATGTATATTTCGTCCTCAATGTCCTTAATCACAAGACGCAATTTTTTATGTCAAAATGTTCAAAAAAAAAATGAAGCTTGTAAAATTGTAGAACGATTCTCGATTCGAATAAAACTACATTTTGTTGATTTTCAACTTTCACCCTACAAAATTTGTTTTGATATTTGTAGTGCTCATAAGACGTTGGGTTTTGGAAATGAGCTAGATCCATCCACATTTAGGCAGGGTCCCAATATAAAGGTATAAAGGCTAGTTTCCAGACAAAGAAATAATTTTTATAGAACAGGAATCCAGCCCCAGGGCCTCAATTCTTGTTCTATGAAAATGAGAAATGAAAACTTTTATAAAGGAAAGAAATTACAAATGAGCATTTTTTTTAAAGGAAATATATTTCATTTCATATTTTCAAAGAACAAGAATCCAGCCCCAGGTCTCACATCTCAAACAAAGCAGCTGTAATTAGAAATTTAATATTTTTTAGGGGCCTAGCCCCACCAAGAATATATTTCACACTTTCAATTATTGATCTAAACATTTTAATGTAAATCTCGCTTTAACAAAATAGGCACGGAAAATAGCTGTGTGTGAACAAGCAATGTTCCCACGCAATGTTCTTCTAAAACAAACGACTTAAGACACAAACATGTAATCCATTTTTTCGTGAACATTTGCATCTTTTCTTTTTTTTTTTTGGGAAATATCCCACAATTTGTACACCAATTATGGCAAATTGTGTTAACACTGACATGAGAGTAACAAAAATCCGCATATCTCCAAAGACCGAGATACCTGACACGGCAATAACAACAAGAACCAATCCGCAATGACTAAAAAAGTGTTCACGTTTGCGCACTTATGTCTCACTGCCCGCTCAAAAAAACGACAAACACAGAAATGTATTTCCACCGAGTATCGCTCTTTCGAGATGATGAAGGCAAATTTGTCTGTAAAAAGAGGAACACGGCAATTGCATGCATCTCATAACAACGGTAATCTGATGACGTCTACCACACTGAAACTGTCAACCGGCGTCAAGACATAGAAAAAATACGCCAGAACCGATGTTAAATGACAATGGAAATAGGATTACTAAAAAAATATAATAGCTTTGCATATTCTCTTTGTTAGCTATGTACGAACTGCCGACCAAAACCACAAACACACAAAAAAGCGTAACATTTTGGAACCTTTAGCCTTGCGGGAAATCGATAATCTCTCTGGTTTTTTTTTCTTCGAAGCCCATGGCTGGCTATTCATCCGCTGAAAATGTCGCAGACTTTCGAATTAAGTTGAGGAAATAAAAACTAAAGTTTAATGTAAACAACGATTGGTTGCTGCTTCGGTATTTTGTTCCATAGATTATGGGACAA